TGGGATATTGATGTCGAGGTCGAGTTCCCGGCTGCTCCGGCCGTAATGAACATGGATGCTATGGTTCTGTCGACGAGGCAAACGCAGGTAGGAGATAGAGGTATATCAAACCATCAGAGAATGTGTGTAGATGCAATTTTGTGTTTAAAAAGTACTTTCTCCCCGTACAACAGTGACATAGGACATGTCATAGCAAGGCGAACCAATGTCGACGACCACTACTGGGACTACTTCGAGCCGGAATCCTAGGACCCAGAATAAGATTCCTAGGGAAGTCTACACCATAAAAGAGGTGGACGATGTTGGATATCCGACGGCTCCGATGAAAGATGTCAAAAAGTTCCCTACGATATGCGGAGTCTTAGGGAGGCGGAACTTCACTATTCTGAAGGACCACATTGATCTGGTCCCTCAAGAAGAAAAAGAAGAGGCCTGGAGGCAGTTCAAGGAAAGCTTCTGATACCCTACAGAGGCCGAGGCAGGGCTCAAGCGGCAAGCTATCCGCAAGATGGAGAATTGTTGGAAAAATTTCAAGACAACGCTGGTCACGGAGTACGTCCTCAACCCCGCCTAGCCAGAACCATTTGGGAAATACCCATTCATCACCTGACCCGTGTGGGATGAGTTCCATGCCTCCAAATCAACGAAAGAGTCTCAGAAAAAAAAGCCAGGCCTACCGTGATCTGCAGGCAAGGAACCTTCACCCGCACCGGCTTGGCACAAGAGGCTACGCGGGGAAACAAGCAGAATGGGACAAGGAGGATGAAGCTGCAGCAGAATCTAACACCCCACAAGTGCTTGCTGATATCCCGGTCCAGAGGGCAAGGAACTGGGCAAGGGCAAGGGTGAAAAAGAATAGTGACGGAACTCTTTCGTTCCCAATTCCCGAAGATCAAGCGGTGTACCAGAAAATCGTAAGTTGAACAAATAGAATAAGTTTCATTATGTTGTATCGTATTCTTTGTCTAACGCGTCCTAACTTTACCCCAGGTCGAACTGAATGCTGAGAGACAGGCCTCCCAAGAGGTCTGCTCACAAAAACGGGAGGATGACATCCTCATGAAAGCGTTGGGAAACGAAGAACACCGTGGACGAACAAGGGGCATTGGCTCCAATGTTCCATGGAAGTTTGGGTTTCCCCAATATGCGTGGCAGTACAAGAAGCACAAGCTTTCCAAGGCGCAGAAAGCTGCACGCATTAAGGCCCAACTTTGGGAGGAGCTTAAAGAAGAGCTCACTGCCGAGCTGTTAGGTATGGAGGCTCGGATGGAGGCACGCATCAGGGATAGGTCGACCGATGCCACTCCCGGTCCCATAGTACAAGTGAGCCCCACACAGAGGCGTAGCAGCTGCGCATTCAACTGAGGCTCCGGCAGAATAGTCTAAAGGCCCCGCCGCGGTGGACCACATAACGGTAAAAACAACTTAATAACGCATATATTGTATTAGCACCACAATACATTGCAACATATACTAAGGACACTAATGAATCTATCGCAGGAACGCACATCGTGTACCCTAGTCGTTAGGGTGACACCAGGATTTGCAATTCCTGTCGCAGAGGGTCAAGCATTCAAGCCTACCCCGGAGACCCAAGTGCATGGGGCGCAGCTGCTAGTCGGCAATGCCAAAGTTCAAGTGGACTTAGTGAAGCCCGATTGTGTTGGCTACACTATCCCACACCCACCTAATGACGAGATTCTGACCCTTGGGGCTGCACATGGGACCTTTATTCAATGGCCCAAGCACATCATTGAGATCAATATAACTCCAAGGCCAGCGCCAAGTTCTCGTCCGCCGCCGACGCGTCCCCATCCAACTGTTGTATCTCTCCATTCCTGCCGTTGAACAAAGAGATGAAGATCTCCAATTACAGTATGATACTGATTTTGGGGACGACGGTATGAAGGTCGACAGTAGGCCGCACCTCTCCCCTCTTGCCAAAAGTAGCAAGAGGGCGAAATCTTCTCCACCCAAGCTTGACACACGCAGAAAAGCTGCTGGAACGGGGAGAGGAAAAGTAAAGGTGCCATTAGCCCCAAAGAAGCTTGATCTTGGCAAGGCGCCAGTAGCTCCTCCAAAGCTTCCAGCCGAATTCACATTCGGCATGCCATTGGTCGGAGACGATGCCTTATTCAAGATGGGCCCTGCATGCAAGGAGTTGCACGGGTACTACATGGAGAAGTCCAATGCAAGGAGGAAGAATAGAGAGACCTACATGTTGGGCCAGCATGATGGTCAGCCGTTTCTCGGGCCTACTGCCTTCATCGCCATAGACTTCAAAGATCTATGGGACCTCTACAGGGTGCGAGCGATCGACACCAACCTCCTTAAGTGCTACTCCTTGTAAGTATTTCTTGGTACACGAAATGGTAATGACTGTCCATAAATTACGCTTACCCTGACTCTTGTCTTGCTCGTAGATTAACCTGGAAGCATGTCCATCATAAAGCACCCCATATTGCCTTACTTGATCCAACTGTCGTCAACGAGACAACGCTGAAAAATGATTGAGCAAACATGGTGGGCTATATCAAGGACTGCTTATTTGCCCGTCAAGACAAGGACTTCATTATGTGTGCCTACAATCAACAGTAAGCGTGTACTATACTTATACTCAAATACTCGACGCGTACAACTGTAGTATGTAACTGGCAATTTAATAATTTCGCAGGCAACATTGGATTCTTTTGGTAATAACACTGAAGTGGAGTTCAGTACACTACCTTAACTCCAATATCAAGCCAGAAATATACGATTGGTCGGCCATCGAATCTGCCTTGAACGAGGCATGGGACCAATACGTGGCAAGAGGCGGGAGGCATAAGGATGGGCATCCCAAACTCGGTCACAAGAAAGACTTCCCAATACGTCAACAAGTTGGCGACCAGTGCAGGTTCCATGTCTGTCATAACATGAGGAGCTTCGCAGACAAGGTGACATTGCTCGACCTTGAGGTGTGTAATTCAGTTGTTTATACACACATAGGACGACAAATTTACAAGTATGTAGACTAACTTGGCACCGAACATGCAGGAATTTATTTCAAGGATTCCGGAAATCAACTTCGAAATCATTAGAGAGGAGATAGCACAATTCATACTAGATGATATCTTGTCACCGAAAGGGATGTTTAGAGTGAAGTCCTAGGTAGCTCGTCTCGGAATGGCAGAACATTTGCAATGCATATGCGACAAACATTTGATTTTTGTAAATATTCTTTGTAATACAATTATATTCTTTAGAGTAAAGTCCTAGGTAGCTCGTCTCTGTATATACTTGCATTTCTAGTTACATATAAAATTGTTCCAATTTATTACTTAGTTTTGCAGGTTTTGATGCATGTCGGCGGTTTGGAGAGAAAAAAAGGATGTGAATGACATATATATGTGAATGGGTTGTGGATGTGAATGTATATGTGTTTGATTTTGTGAATTGGCTGTGCTATGATGGAATATGAATGTGAATTGGCTGATGTAATGCTGGGAATGGGTCTATATGAATTGGCTGTGATGGTATATGTGAATTGACGCTGGGAATGGGACTATGTATATATATATATATACATATATATATATATACATATATATATATATACATATATATATATATGCTTCTGTCATTTTTGCAGCGGGCATGGCTAGCAAAGTCCTGAGGCTAGCCAAAAAGACAAATTTTATTTTTTTTGGTTCTAAACTCATCCCTGACGGGCATTTAGCTAATGCCCGAAAGAGATAACTCATCCGTGACGGGCTATAGAGTCAAGCCCGTTAGAGATTAGTCATCAGTGACGGGCTTTTAGAATACACCCGATAGAGATAAGTCATCCGAACCGGGACTAGTTTGATTCAACACGTGGGGTCAAACCTATCGGTGACGGGCTCTGGCTGAATGCCCGATGGAGATGACTACTCATCCGTGATGGGCTTAGTGGTGTGCCCGATTGAGATTAGTCATTCGTGACGGGCTCCTAACTACGGTGGTTTGACTGGTCATACTCATCTGTGACGGGCTTGGTTGTCGGCCCGATTGAGATAGCATCCATCCGTGACGGGCTTTAGCCCGATTGAGATATTTTCTCACATCAGTGACCTTTGCCCACTGACGGGGCCTTACCCGATAGTGATGAGGCTTTCAGCCCGTTAAAGATAAGCGATCCTGTTCTAGTGGAAGTCACGTGCGGTGGACCCGCAAGGAGAAACCGCAAGGAGAAACAGGCAAGAGGGAGAAGCTCTAGCATGGTCATGTGTTTCGGACAAAACATAAATCTATAGAAAACCATGCAAATGAAAACTTTTACGCTAGTATAACATGTTCTTTGGAATAAAACATAAATTTAGAGTAACGTGTGTGTTCTTGGAACAAATCGTAAATCTAGAGGAAATCACACAAATAAGAACCTCAAAGAACACAACCTAAATCTAGAGAAAATCATGCAAATGAGAACCTAAACGTACGCTAGTATCAGGCAAATGACTTAAGTGGTACCTATACAGTACCGATTTAAATTTGGAGACAATTTTGCCATTTTCTCTCTAGTAGCAAATTTATGTTTTACCCTTGGTACCTAAGTACGTACACTAATACTAATACTTAAATACTGTTTACATGGTACCATGTTACTGATAATTAAGCGTTGGATTTTTACTCTTTGGAATGCAAAAACTATAAAAGCTCTCATATATATACTCCCTTCGTTTCTATATATTTAACGCCGTTGATTTTTTTAAATATGTATATACACTAGAAAAAATAGTACCTGTGCGTTACAATGGGTGAAGTCTATTTTAATCTTATTATTGTTATATGGTTTAGTTAAGATAAAATTCACTATGGAAGTTCGCTTGGATATATATTTTTTTAGAAAATCATGAGCTGCAGTTAGCTAGGAGTCCGATCGTCCCAAGTTAGCATGTGAGTTTTTTTAAAACAGATTTCTTATATGATTCCTTCTGTACCAAAAGTGAACGATCTTAAAAACCGACTCAAATACAGATATATATTTCCAAAAGCAAACAAACTTAAAAACCGACTCATACACGGATGACGTACCAAAATATCGGTAAAAACAACTTAAATTTTTGTGATAGTAGAGATATATAGAAGTCATTACTAACTCAAATAAAAATATACTGCTATATGAATTATATTGTTGAAAAGCTCCCCTAGAGCACCAAACGAAGTTTAATCCAATCGAACGTGATTGCAAGCTTCAGTGGGATCGATCGATCATGCATGACATCTCGCGACATCCTGCTAATCCCTGCAATCCTGTTCTTTCTCACATCCACGCGTGTACGTGTTTGCGGGACCGCCGGGGTGGAGGAGCTTTGGTGTTCCAGGGATGTCGTCGTGGTTCATGGTCGTGTAGCCGATTTCATTGTCGGCGGAGACGCCGACATCCTCGACGGCGGTGAGGACGAGGAGAGCCACCAGGGACAGGCCGACGACGACGGTCAGGTTCACCCTAGCTTTCGCCATGGCGATCCGAGCTAATATAGCTAGCTTCACAGATGATCGACGGGCACCTCGATCGCTCGATCTCCTTCTCTTTCTCCTGGTTTGTGTGAATCTGTGATGAGTTAATTGTTGGCTAAGGCTAACTGATTTTATAGTGTAGCATATGTCTAAGATATGAGAGGATTAATTAATGGTCCAGGAGTGTTCTAGCTAGGGGTTTGTATTACCGCATGCATTGATGATTTCATGGTAAAAACTAACAATAGCATGGATCATGCAGGGATGGATGGCTCATTTTGGCCACCATCTAATGTATGGTGTGGATATATATAGCTTTTCTAAAGTTAGGTTTCTGATGTGCGGTGCAACTGACTACTGTAACTGTTCGCTTTTAATTTATTGGCCGTAGTTTTGAACTAACAATCCCTGACAGTGGCTTTCAACGGTTCATAACCGCCTGCGAATATTGTGCTTATAAATTCTATGATAAAAAAAAAGGCTATATGTGATGAGTTGTGTTACTGCCCATATGGTTTCATGGCAAGATTTGTCTATACCGATTGGAAGATATATATAAAAGAAAAAGGCTATATGTACCAACTTTTTTCGTACTAACACTGAAACATAATTGACTAATGCACCAGAAGAAATACTCATTACGTTTCAAATTACTTGTCAACTTTGTCCTAATTAAGTCAAGTATTCCTAACTTTAACTATTAAATTCAAGAAATTTATGTGTGAACTATATATTATAAAAGCATATTTCTCATGTTGAATCTTAAAGCATAAAGCACTACTAAAAAAACCTAGATAGGTGTTGGTTGGGAACCCAACATAGGTGCCGGTTTTTTCCAACTGGCACCTAGAAAGTGATACAGATGAGAGAAATCAAAGGTGCCGGTTTTGAAACCGGCACCTTTGTGGTCCCAAGAATAAAAAAAATCGGCTCGATGCCAAACATGCCCAATTATCGAGCCACTCGCCAAACATGCCCAATTAATATTTATGTTGACGCCAAATCGTGTTGTCATGTTATGTGCAACTCGCAACGGCACCCGGAGATGCGCCGCCGCAGGGAATGGTAGATATATGCCACCGAACGAACACCCGGGAGGGACCCATCAGGGTTAACGCGTGCTAGTTTGTCCTAGGTTCAACTGGCCAGTTAGGACATCCTGTAACGCCGACGAGAGACGACGAACAATTAAGAAATTGGAGTAGAATATACTTTGCATGGCATAGGTAGCAAGGAGGAGGAAGATATGGAATACAGAGGGTTTGGACAATAAATTTTAACGATTGATTGGTGGTTGTTTCAATCAGGCTTAGTCCTCTATATTTATAGGAGAGGTGAACTTGTTTCCCAGGGTCTTTTCCACATCCAATAGATGTTGAAACCAATTAGAACTCAAAAATCTCAGACCCAAGAAAAAAAAACCTGAGATCCGACAAGTCGAACTGCTGGTACGACCGCCCACATGTCGCCAGTGAGGCCGCCCCCCGCAGATGAATTAGACCGGCCCTATGGTGGCGGTCCGACCGGCCTCACGTGGTAAGCCCGGGACCTTCTCAAATTTGACCACATTTTCATATTATTACTCTAGGTGTGATTTCGATGTTAACCATACATATGCTTGTACAATTATTCATGCCGGTTTATTAAAAAAAAGAAGAAGAAGAAGCAACCAACCCAAAAAGCCTGGCAAACATATATCGTCTCTGTCCCCTCTATAGGATAGAAATAATATACAATGGCGACGGTTTCTTACAGCAAAACACCATATATAATTTTGTGGTATACATCCATCAACAGATCCACATTCTTACAATGCTTTCTAGCAAAGATCATGGCAAATTTTGCCAAAGCTGCAACTATATATATAGAGAGAGAGAAATCATTACTAACCCACATAAGAATTTGCTGTTACAATACTTATATTATCGAAAAGCTCCCCTATATAGCACCAAACGAAGTTTAATTCCAAACGAACGTGCATCGCTATAGCATCAGTGATCAATCGATCGATCGATCATGTCATCTTGCTATCCCTGCACGCCTGCTCTTTCTCACATCCACGCGTGTATTTGTTAGCGATGTCGCCGGGGTGGTTGAGCTGCGGTGTTCCAGGAATATGGTCGCGATTCATGGACGAGTAGTCGATGACCTGCGCGACGACGGCGACATCCTCGACGGCGATGATGAGGACGAGGAGAGCCACCAGGGACGACAGGCCGAGGACGGTCAGGTTCACCCTAGCTTTCGCCATGTCGATCGATCGAGCTAGAGCTAGCTAGCCTCACACAGATGACGACGGGAGTAGTCTTCTGGTTGGTGAATCTGTGATGAATTGTTGGCTATGGATAACTGATTTTATAGTGTAGCGTGTGTCAAAGATATGAGAGGATTAATATGGCTGGGTAGAGTGTGCGTTCTAGGGGTGTGTATTACTGCACGCGTTCATGATTTCATGGCAAAAACTAACAATAGGATGGATCATGGATAGATGGATGGATGGCTTCGTTTTGGCCGCATGTAATGTATGGTGTGCATATATATATATATATATATATATATAGCTTTTCTAAAGTTAGGTTCCTGATGAGATGTGCGGTAAAACATGAATATCGTAACTGTTTCTCTTTTAGTTTAGTCTTGAATCGTCTCTGATAGTGGCAGTGTTCAGAACCACCTGTGATTGTGCTTATAAAGTCTATGATAACCCTTTTTACGGTTGTGTTATTGTCTATATGGTTTCAAGATTTCTGTCTATACTGATTGCAAGATCGGAATTGCTAAAAAAATATCGCAAGTTTTTTGGGAAAAAAAACTTTCAAATGCAACTATATATAGTACAGTTGTAATGTAACTAGACTGTAATTACACTATAATTACATTGTAACTGCACTATAATGACATTGTAATCTCTATATTAAGTTAGATACAAAGTTGCATATATTACTTTAATACTTACACTGGTGGAGAAGTGCTTTTTAGTCCCGGTTCGTAACCCCCCTTGTAGTCCCGGTTTTCAACCGGGACTACGAACCCGGGAAGTCCCGGTTCAAATAACCGGGACTAAAAATCGATCTCTAGTCCTGGTTGGTGTTACCAAACCAACTGGGACTAAAGATATTTTTTTCTTTTTTTTTCTGTTTTTAATATTGAATATTGACTTCACACCATCCCCTCCTATATCCAAATCATCACATATCACAGAACATCTCCAAATCCTCAAATCCTCAAACAAATTATCTCCAAATACATCACAAACTCTTAAAAAAATAGATCATCTCCAAATACATCACAAACTCTTAAAAAAAATTACATCACAGGGTTCTAAAAAATTCATCACAGATTCACATCTCATACAAAAATACATCACAGATTCACATCTCAAAAAAAAAAGAAAAAAAATCCGGTCGGCGGCCACTGCCGCCACCCCGCCTCCCCTCTGCGCCGGCCACCCGCCGCCGCCGCCTACCTCGCCCGCGCCGGCCGCCTGCACGCTTCGCAAACTTGTGGGGTGAAGGAAAAAAAAGGAAGGAGAGGAGAGGAGTTAGAGATAAGGAAAGAGATAAGAAGTTAGAGAGGAAAAAAAATGAGATAGAGGGAGGAGTTTGTTGTGTGGACGGGAAAAGAGGATCGGTACTAGGGATTATATAGTGTGTTTTGATTTTTATTCCCAGTTAGTAACATCAACCGGAACTAAAAATAGGTTTTTAGTCCCGGTTGGTGTTACTAACCGGGACTAAAGATCCTAGGGCCCTGGCAAGGAATCAACCGGAACTAAAAATGAACTTTAGTCCCTGTTACCAACCGGGACTAAAGATGATTTTTAGTCCCGGTTGGTAACAACAACCGGGACTAAAGATCTTCCTCTTATTAACCGGGACTAATTTTTAGTCCCGGTTTTTAATGGAATCGGGACTATTATGGATTTGGGTCGACCGACCAAAAATGGTTTCTCTACCAGTGTTATATACAAATTATATTATAGTTACAATATAATTAAAGTGGAATTATATTACAATTATACTACACTTAGATTTTGAAAGTTTTCCGTTAAAAAACTTGTGGCAGTCTTTTAGATAGCATCTTGGAATATATAAAAAGATGAGCTTAATTTACTAATGTACAAGAACAAATACTCCATATGTTTTAAATTACTTATTGTTTTAACTTTGCCTTAAATCAAACATTACTAGCTTTGACTATTAAAATCTATATATTCATATATATAGTTTGAAAACATTGAAGTATATATGTAATTATAAAAAGCATTTGTTTTGATGTTAAACTATATTTTTTTTAAAAAAATTGATATTCAAAGTTAGAAAGGCCAATTGGCTCATGTCTGATATGGGCTGCTAGAGACAATACAACCATGTACATCGCATATATGTGTTTACTTAAAAGCCGTGGGAATGGCTGAGGATTAGTGCGCCACGTCAGCAATTTTTTCAAAAAAACCCCTGTGTTTTTGTTAATTACATACCAGTTCCCATCAACATCGTCCGTTTGATCTCGCGGCAGGGTCGATCTAACCGTCCACGTGTCCGCTGCGGCGGCCCTTCCTCAGCCGTGGGATCGTCGAATCGGGAACGAACGGCGTAAATTTAGTCCACCCACACGAAACCCTAGCCCTCCCTCCCCGGCCTGTCTCGCCCGCAGCCACGCCGCCGCCTCGCCCTTTGCACGCGCCATGGCCGCCGCATCCTCGCCCTCCTCCAGCCATCATCGTCGCGCCGCTGCCACCAATAAGGGAGGCCGTGGCATCAGCTAGTGATGGCCCCGCGTCTGTCGCCCGCGGCGAGACGCGCTCTCCGCTCCGGTCAGTGCGGCGCCAAATCCACCTCGGGGACATCGGCTGTCTCGCTGCGGTAGAAGGAGGTGGTAGGACCATTGGGGGTTGAACAGTGATTGCTAGGAGATCGAGGAGGATAAGGAAGGAGAAGAGCACAGCTCAGTTACGGCTGCCACGACGATAGCTGCTGGTCGGCGACAACTACGGCAAGGCCATCGCCCAGTGCCACACGTGCCGCTGTACATGTCACCACGCCGTCCTCTCTTGCTCCACTAGAATCTCCTCATCTCCTCTCCGTCCTCTTCAGGTGAGTTTGGGGGCCACTTTTTGCAGGCTTGCAACCATGCTTCTCTCCTGCCTGTGCTAACGGGTCATGGCTGTTGTTATTGATGGTACTGCAATTTTACTGTTGTTGTATTCCACAGATATTTGATTTGGGCATAGTTACTATTGATTACAATCTCACTTATGCATATTTAAAGTAAATCATGTACTCATCCATTCCATTGAAAAATAGAACTTGCGCTGAGTTGGTGATCTTTAGATATTACCAATCATTTGTTGCAGTGTGTTTTTTTGAATAAAGATCTTTTGGACTTGCTTGAACTAATATGGCATCTTGCCTAGAGCAACTGCTGATTTTTGCCTCATTATGAACCTATCAGGAATGGCCAATTCGTCACTGATTATTTTCTTGACGTTCATGATTCCTAACACTATGAATGGATGAGTGACAAGTTTGACAATGAGGTATGTACCTGATCCTGTCATTTTGTCTTTTTCTTAAGAAAAGCAGGGTCTACCCTTATGTACTTTTTCCTGCAGTTTTGCCTACATTATGCATGAATCTAAAAAGTCCACCTACATAATTCATCAAGCCTACAGGTGCTCTCCTACGATATCTCACAAGGATTTAGGTATACTCATATTTCTGCTAGACCCAAAATCTCATGAACGAGTATGTATCTGTGTTCTCTATTTAACAATGAGCGATTCATTGAAGCTAGAATGCTTTAGATATGATAATTTGAATCAAGGTCGCTAATTGTGGTTCAATACCAAATGGCAATGCTGGTGGCCTTGCTGTAGTTGTCGAATTAACTATGAACCTATCTCAGCAGCTGCCAAATTCATGAATAATTTCCCCCCTTTTTCCTGTGTTCATATTTCTATCATTTACATTCCTTTTGCAGGAATTTATACATCCTACAAAAGACAGAACAACATAGTAGGATGATATGTTTGGGTACGGACTTCAAGATTCACTTAGATTTGATTAAAAAATGAAAAATATTTATCACATCCTACCTTCACAGCTGTTTATTTTTTCTGAGTTAGGAGTATGTAGTACTCCAGATAATCAAAGAGTCCAGGATTATTAAATATGTGCATGTTGTGTTTACATGGCGAGAAAAGGCTACATGACCAAAATCTTTGCTTAATTCGTGCACCACACACATGAATAAGTCCGAATCTTTCCACTGGTCATTTCTTTTGCTCACGGCCAATTTGAAGAGCTATGAACTATTCGTATTTCTGTCCTCAAACAAATCTTAATCCTAATACTTGAAAGAAAAAGAGAGATTCAATATGTATCTTTACTTCATGCAAAAACACATTGCTCCTTTGTATTTTGCATTTCAGAATTCAGTTTTGCCTTATGAATAGCTTTTCATCCTAGAATTAACTAATCGAACAACAAATTGATGTTGGGAAGATCTAACTAATAATCAATATCTGCTGCAATTGTTTCTTACCATTCCTGCTCTGTACTTGCACTGATGATACCATGCCTTCATAGCATATAACTAAGCGTGCATTATACCTTCTTATCTGTTTGTTGTGTGGATTGGCTAAGCAAACATAATGGAGTGCTATTCTTTGTATAGACATGTAATTTTTTTCTGTTTGTAGGTAATTTTTACATAAATGTGTTGTTCTGAACTAATAATCCAGTGTTCTGTTCAGGCTTTCCCCATTCATTTCTATTAAGTGAACTATTGTATCAGCTCTAATTTCCCTTTTATGTGCATCTACTGAATAATGTTGCAGGGTCTAGTGAAATCTATTCATGTATTGTGACCTGAAAAATTAATCAAGGATTGCTCTTTACCGATGAAGATAACATACGGAAATATGCCAAGCTTGCAAAGTTGATTTGATTGATAAGAAATCCATGTCCCATTATCAATGCGTTCAAGAGTCAAGAATCTGTGCTGGTAATGGGTACTACATGAACTTTTCTGCAACTACAGGTTTCAAGCATTTGCTCCCTTTCTGTTCTATGCACTTTCCAAATTTATCAAGGCAAGCACATGGATCATGGACGTTATGTACTAATGTACATATTTGCCAAACTATCGCCTTTCTAAATATGGAACTTTTCATGTTTCAGAATTTAGGTAAGATTTAGGGTTGCCACTTATATTTAGTGATCAGTACAAATTCAAAGTTTTGTCATTTTTCTTTGGTGCATCATAGGTCAATTGAGATTCATTCTTGCCAAGCTTTCATCAAAATTCTGACAGCTTGTGTTTTACACCTACCTGTTTTTTCTATGTTTACTTACAAGCATGAATATTGGTAGAGAAGAATAGTACTATAGTTTGCTCATATAAGTAAACCAGGATATGAGATGATTTGGTGTGGCCTGAGACAAAGCTGAATTAATCAGCAAGTTTTTAATCAATTATTCTTGCTAAAGGCACTTTGAGAAGTTGTTTTCAGTTTGACAAAAATAATAAAGAAAACAACAAGAAGAAAAGTTGTTTAAAGTTATTTAAGTAAAGTTGTGAGCTATTATGTGATAGTGCATCAAATATTTGTAAGATAGATGTAGCCGGTTACTCTGAAAAGTAAAATTGAATGAATCAATGCCCATCTTTCGTTTTTTCTGTTCTTTAATTTATATTTTTTAGCGCATATAATCCTTTATGTTGTCGATTGCACAATATAAAATAATGGAACTTTACCAATGCCCTGCAGGTGAAAACTTTACATTATAGTTCATCATTCTATCTGACAGCTAATAAGACTTTTAGAGCTCCTTCAATTACTACTCAAGCTTCCGTGTAGCCATGCCAATAGGATTAGCAATGAAGATTCCCACGCATGCTCACACATATGCATGGGAAAACTCATGTGGTTCCGAAACTAATGTTGCATCATATATCTCAATTAAATCAAGTTAACTGTATACTGAGCTTGATGTTGCATATGCATTGTCTTGAACGATTTGTCTATTGCGGATTTGCGGTTTGCCATATATGAAATGGTTCTTGAATGCATCAGAAGTCTCTGTCTTTTTTTTCCTATGCATTGTTAGGCATCGTTCGTTTAGGGGTGATAGGGGAGATTGGCTCTCGTTTTTCGCGCGCACGCTTTTCAAATTACTAAACGGTGCGTTTTTTGCAAAAAATTTCTATGGGAAAGTTGTTTTAAAAAATCATATTAATCCATTTTTAAAATTTAAAATAGTTAATACTCAATTAATCATGAGCTAATGGCTCACCTCGTTTTGCGTATCTTCCCAATCTCCTCAATCCCCTTAGTCTATGGACAGCGCTACGCTGCGCGCGTTTATTGCTAGTATTATTAAGGGGCGCGGATTGGGGCGATGGCGGCGCGGGCCACGTCACCTCTTTTTCCTCCCGCCGTCCGATCAGGCGTGGGCGGCTGGGATTGAGGCGCGCGGTGTAAATTTTGCGAAAATCCTCCGGTTTATGCGTAATTCGATTTAAGTCCCTTCGGAACAGTAGCTATGAGGTGCTATTTTACGTATAGGCCCTTACAAAATCCTCATATTCCACGATAAGGAGAGAAAAAATCGAGAATAAGGACTGTGCTGTAAACAGTGAAAACCGAGGGACTTTTTCGCAAAATGTCGCCCACTAACCCCAAACCCTAGCCGCCGCCCGCATCCTCTCCTCCCTCCCGTCTCACCCTCTCCCTCTCCCTTTCCTTCTCCCGGCGCCGCCACCTCCGCCTCACGCCGTCCCCGTCTCCTCGCGCCGCCGCCTCCTCCTCCGCCGCCACCGTCGTCATGTCCTCGTCTCCGTCTCCGCCTCCGCCTCGCGCCGCCGCACGCCGCCACCGCCGCGAGAGGAGCTATCGGAAGCGCCGCCCCGGAGGAGGAGGAAGAGAGGCGAGAGAGCGGAGGACGGAGAGGGATCCGGCAAGATGGGAGTCCTGGCGTTCTACCGGTGGCTGGCGGACCGGTACCCGCAGACGGTGTCGGACGCGGTGGAGGAGGAGCCCGTGGAGCTCGAGCCTGGCGCCTTCGTCCCCGTCGACCTCCGCCGCCCCAACCCCAACGGCCTCAAGTTCGACAACCTCTACCTCGACATGAACGGCATCATCCACCCCTGCTTCCACCCCGAGGGCCACGCACGATCCTATTCCCCCATCCCCTCTGTCTTCTCGTCTTCTAATCAACCCATTCTGTGTTCGATCTCACCATGGATTTGGACTCCCTCTCCTGCAGCCGGCACCGACCACTTACGACGAGGTGTTCAAGTCGATTACTTTTGCATATAAGTAAATCTTTCTTTGTTTTTAATTCACTGGTTTGATTCTCTGGTTTTTTTTTTTTTGGGATCATGTTTAGGTTCTTGTTGGATTTGGTACTGATCTCGTTAGGTTTCTTGGCCCGTTTTCAGGTGCGGCTCTGAAGGGGAATTTCGTCGAACAAGATGAATGCGTTGCCAGGAACTTCAAGCAGGCGGCCAAACTGCTGGGCCTGGACTCCAAGCTGGAGAAGAACTTGCTCATCCCATTCAGGGAGATCAAGGTGATGATTCTAGCGCAGTTTTCTTGAGATATGGTAGTCTGTTTTCTTTGGCTTCACTTGCTCGAAGTAGTTTTCTGATGAACATGAGAGAGAGTGTTGAAAGTTCTTGCTGCGACCAGGTTCAATGGAGTAAAGGATTTTCTTTTTGGTTTGGAGTGCCAACAAGTCTGTGGTTGATTGCAGGTTGAATGCACAGTTCCGAAAGATGATGGGACTTTAGCATCTTACATGTTGGGTTTAGGGTTTAACATGACAATGTTAGGGGACCTATGAAGGGTGGAATCAGATACCGCCATGAGGTGAGAATATTGATTGATTAGTGTGTTCTTCGTAATACAAGCTGGTGCCTAGCTATGATTGAGTGAAAATTTATATTAGTTGAACTCAGTTTTCTGGGTTAATAATTTCTCTGGTAGTACAAGCATTAAGATTCAATGAAAACATCAGATGCTGATCAGATTTCACCTTTGGATGCAATCTATTTCTAATTTTCTACTTCTGTGTTAGTAAAACTTATATAAGTTATATTACCATTTACTTGCAACAATCTATCAATATCAGACCTGAAATTGTTCAAGCTTGTCTCTTCAGTTCCAGCTGCACATTTTTTTTGTATGGGCTTTACTGATGATGAACTCCGGTCACACAATTGTAGGATGGTGAAAAAAAGCCTATATTCTGCTGTTAGACAATTCATAATTAGGTAAGGGAATTTGGTAAAGAGTACAATTTACTCTGCAAGAAACATAGATTTATGCTTGCTAATCCCAATAGATCATCGAGCCATCACTTTCTTTTACAGTAGTAACTTCGCTCAAGAAAATGTTTGCCTTTTAAAGGAAAAGGGATAATTTTGCTCTACCACCTTGCCAGGGCCAGAGTTGTGTGCTTGTATAGGTTAAAGTCAGTTTCTTTTGCAGGAAAATGCTATGCCTTTACTCTCTTTCCTAAAAAATCGGTTTTGGGTTATGCTGTTACAGTTTCTTTCCATATTTCTTTTTAGATGTTGGGGCCTGTGTCCCAACTGCATGAAGATTTCATGCAGAACATTTAAACAAGTAGCAAAGCTTCTGTCTGGCCATTTTTAGACAAGTTGATACATCAATGATATAATTCTTTCTCAATATTTTGTGGTTCAGGAATTTGATATTTTAGGCCACCGACTGGGTCTTCGACACCACAGAGGACCGCGCCTGCCAAGGTGATTATCGCCTTGTTTAACCTCTCAGCAAGGTGGATTATTTTTAATCAATCCAAACATGGCATTGCGGTGATTTCTCGTGGGATCCATGCGCCATCCAGATTATGTTGCGCAGTAGTAGAGTTTGCAAGAATTATTTATTTGTTAACATATACGCGCCAAACAATTCCACCCAAAAGCCTTAATCTGTGAAAAGAGGTTGGGTAATCTACTCAATACTTAACAACTAATATGCTGCACTGTTTATGTTAATCTGTAGCTTGGATGAATCTGATGTAACATATTCTGAGTGCTTGGGTACAGTAATTATCACTATGTACTAGACAATACATTTTGACCATGCGAAGGTATGTGGAAGGTGTTATCGCTTTTTTTTTCTTATAAAAGATATGCTGGTTGTTAGTGTTGCCATTTTGATTATGACTCTACGTTGCTATTTGCATATCAGTTATCAGTGGAACTTTTACTTTTTAACCGTTGTACTGTAAGCCACTTCAATACAGGCCATCATATACAACTAGGGAGCACGTTTTCTTGTGTGCTACTGACAAATAAAATACAAAGTACATTTCAATGAGATTTGTTTACAGCTTATAAGTGATGTTCTTTGTTTTACACCATTTTTAGTCATCGTACAAAATTAGGCTGAAATTGTTCTTAATGCTATTCTTTTCAGCACAAAAGTCCCTGTTGCTACTGTGCATGAAGATCTTTCCTCTGTGGCTCCTCCTCCTGTCCATTGCCCTCGGTGTTATAAAGTTACCATTTGATATTTCTGGTCTGGGTAATCTCCTAATGTAAGGTGTTAGTTTGTTCTATTATTCTATTCTCGATTATACAAGCTGTGGCTTTAAAGAAATAGCAGTAGATATGATATGGACCATTGAGGTCACTTCCATAAACTTGGATCTGGGTGTGCAACATTTGTCAGTACACCATTGCCCTCGGTGTTATAAAGTTACCATTTGATATTTCTTTGATCTGATCAAACAAATCTTAATCCTTCTTTCATAGCACCAGCACTGTTGCATCTTTTGCCTAAACATATTATGTTATTACGCTGTCACACTGTTGCTTGTCCTCTATGTATTGTCCCTAACAAATTTTGCTGTAAACATGTCCTGTCAATAGTCATAGCCATCACTAACAAGTGAGCTACGTATCTATTTATTTCAGTACACCAAATTATGTGCTATTATGATGTTGCACTACAACATCACAATTGCACATCCTCTAACTCTGCTTTAATGCTCTAAATATACTCTGTTAACAAGGATATCCATCGCTATTATTAGCTGCTAATGAATGAATTGTATCCAGGCGGCGCGCCCCAGGCTCTAGTACTCCGAATTTTTTTCATATAATAATTAATAACCTCAAAGTTAAATAAATAGTAAATTCGAATCAGTAATTAGAAAAATAGGAAGGACGTTGGGAGCAACAACGTCTCAAGTGGACGCTGGAGAGACGACGTCCTTTAATGGACGCTGTAGGCTAGCACGTACATCTAGCTGATCCCAGCCTAGCCCAAGAACTCATGCTGCAAAGGCCCAAGTAAAGTTCCTCCAAACAAAAACGGGAGAAAAAAATGGCTTGCCTCACCTGCGCGTGTGCGTCGTCTGGAGAGCGCTCACCCTTCTCCACTTCTGTCCTCATTCGCGCGGCAAGCCGGCGGCGGCGCGACGCCCCTCTCCTCTGCGCCCCTATCCGTTTCTGTGCATGGTTCCAGCCTGGTCCCTAGGTGAATCCTAGCTTCCGATTCCCTCTGCTACTGCCGCCGCACAGGTATAATCGAAGACCCCTTCCCCTGCTGCTGCCGCCGCCGCCGCCGCCCTCCAATCCCTTTCTGCAAGGCCTTGCATCTCCGGTGCCCTTGACTGCTCCTGCCCCTGTTGCTATTTGATTCCATATTGTAATGCAGAAATACTAGATTAATATTATTTATAAATTAGAATGCAACCCAGTCTATTGTGTTTATCAAATACAGCTAGATAAGATGGCCACCAATGATCGGTTCAGTGATTTGTTATGGATGCCTCATTGTCAGCATAAAGTTTCCAAAATATGGGATAGTGTGAGTTGCTAGATTTTTTTTCTACGTTATTCGTCCATTGTGTGTAAAACTTCAAACAGACTGTATGGTTTGACTAATTGATGAAATGTATTTTTACAGCCTACTAATTGCATTAACATACGGCTTCATCGTGTCGGCATTCCTTACCACTCATTATGTCAGACAGCTTTAGAGAATCTTGGGTTCTTTCAGATTGCACGGATGAAGGAAATCAATAATGATAAATATTTGATATCAGCACTGGTGGAGCGCTGGCGACCTAAAACCAACACTTTTCACTTACCAGTGGGTGAGATGACAATTACGCTACAAGATGTAAGTTGCTTATGGGGTTTACCTATCCATGGTAGACCAATTACTGGCCAAGCTGATGGCTCATGGGTTGATATGATTGAACGGTTGCTTGGAATTCCTATGGAAGAACAACACATGAAGCAGAAAAAAAGGAAAAAAGAGGATGATATGACTATGGTGAGTTACTCGCGGTACTCCATCAGCTTAAGCAAGTTGCGTGACCGCTTTCGTGTAATGCCAAAGAACGCAACAGAACGTGAGATTAACTGGTATACTCGAGCACTTGTTCTTGATATTATTGGGTCCATGGTTTTTACTGATACATCTGGAGATGGTGTACCTGCAATGTACCTCCAATTTATGATGAACTTAAGTGAACAAACAGAGTACAATTGGGGGGCTGCTGCACTTTCCATGTTATATAGACAGTTAAGCATAGCATCTGAGAAGGAGAGAGCTGAAATATCTAGACCTTTATTGTTACTGCAGTTGTGGTCTTGGTCACGTTTGCCACTTGGTCGACCTGTTAAGGCAATGAAAATCACGAAAGAAAGGGAAGAAGAAGATGAACAGGAGGAATTGGACTATTGCCTTGTATTTGGAGCAAAGTGGTGTCTCTCACATGAATTTCGTGCCCCACATAATGCGGGTACTATTTCTATTTTGATTATATCATATGTCCCAATTATGGTTTTTTTTCTTGGTGTACTTGTCTACTTATCCTATAGTAATGTTATGCAGGTACTGAATATTACCGAAGTCAAATTAATCTGATTCGAGAAGGAGTAATTGTTTGGCAGTAACCTTATGGATGAAATGCCCATCCAAATTTGTAATGATCGTGCTTGGTGGTTTGCTAGATTGCCCCTAATTCATTTCTGGATTGTAGAGTTCCACTACTTAGATAGGGTGATGCGCCAATTTGGTCGTCGATAGAACATTCCACCTCATCCTCCATATGGCAAGGTTGAGCACCGCAAACTATGTAAAATCAAACATGGAGGAAAAATGCGCAGTTGGGAGATAGTACATGCTAAATATATACACCAATATGACAATTTGGAAGCAGTAATGGTCCAAGAGGACCAACCTTTTGATCCAGCTAGCTTGCCAGAGTATAGACGTTGATTCCAACAAAATGGTATGTATAGTGTTTTTTCGATGCTCAGTGCTTGGGAGGTCTTGAAAACCCAATCCCATATCCCCGGGACATATTTGAATGGACAGGCTACATGCCCAGTGGTCCACCACTAGCACGAATTGTAAGTTATTTTGTACAATCCATAGTAAACTTTTGCTGCCATTTTGGTTCAAACTACAATACTCTTTTTTTTTTCTAAATGCAGAGCTTACATGTGATAAAGAATGCTGCTTGGGGGATCAAATGTGCAATTACTAATAGCTGTAAGAAGTTAGGCAAGTCAATACTCAAGACATGCTTGGGTAATTTGAGAGATCTAAACCTAGAGCCTAGGTTGCAAAATATGCTCACTGATGCTGGGTTGCCAATCAATATTGAAGATATTCCGTCTGATGATGATCTCTCAGCTCATGTTCACCACCCAAGTCCTCCGAAAGACTCTAATTCTGATATATTTGATGAATGGGTGTACTCAGGAAGAGGTTTTGAAAGATATCTCCATGCAGGTGGGATAGCTGCAACACAAGACCTAGGCCAAGTGACACGGATAGATGAGTAGAGCTGTAGGTTTGAGATTCTTTCGATGTGTGAGTTGCTAAGATAGTGGTCCATGGGTTGTAATAGTGAAAACTACAGCTTGTTAACAACGTGCTTGTTTTAGATAAATTATTATACTACTCCTAGGTTGCAGCTCTAAAGTTCAGTTTGTGTCGAATTCTATGTAGTGCATGTGAGCTCTAAATTTATGTTCCATGTGGGTGCCACTATATCAACTTTTTTTACTCACTCACTCTTACTATTGCAGGCAAATATATGTAATATATATGTAAGAACAGAGATCTAGATAGCCCATTTGGATCGATAAACACCAAAACCAAACATCAGTGTAATTTTTCTCCATAAGTCGTACAAATATAACATATGTGATGCTGACTCAGTTCCATCAACAGTTATTACAATATCTGGGCACAAGATGCTATAAAGCAAATAATAACAAAAAGGGGCACATCTGATCGACAATGTTGCGTCCATAAGGCTGGAAGTTCCTGGTAGTTCCCAATCAGTTGTATGTTCAGCGAAATGATGCACCTATGAAATAAGAAACAATCAATTCCTGTCGGTGTTGCATAGAGCCTCCATGTGCAACTATTGTCCGTGCATTCAGCCACAATTTTGGATTTGCTACTGGTACTGTACTTCACTTCAGCATTCTTTTCTATGTGAAACTCACCTATGGCAATTTTCAGGTGCTCTTTTGAATCAAAAGTCTTCCCCCTTGCTAGTGGACTATCAAATTGCTTCTTATGCCCAAAGAAACTCTCATCTGCAATTGTTTCCTTTAGTACATAAATATCACTAAAAGCCTTTATGGGATTTTTGCCTGTTGCATGCATAAATGGAAATGAATTGATAGAATGAACAACAGGCTGTGGTTCAGGATGCTCATCATCTGTGCTATGGTCTGTGGATCCGTCAGTATCATGCTCGCTGTCGTCATCTTGTTCAATTCTGTCCTCTGCAAGGTCCGTCTCCTCCCCAACATAATCATCTTCTGCAATTTTTTGTTGCATCTGAAATATGTGCTGGCATTATGGATTCCATATTACCTTGAGAGGCAACTTGTGCTGGATGGATTGTTCTGTGCTGCAAATAAACATTTGTGTCATTCCTTTCAGTTTGTCTGCTTGATTCTGTAATTTGACTCAAAACTACTTGGGCTGGTTTACAGTCCACATATAACTCAATAATATGCCAACTTGCGCGTGTCTGTGTCTTTTCAAATATCATCTTCCATCCTCTTTCTTCATAAATCGGAATTAGTTGGAAATAATGTGGCCCAGGAGCCCCGATATCAAATCGAGCTTGGATACTAATGATATAGTCATCCTCAGTGTATCCGAGTCCTCTGAAAATTTCATTCTTGACGTCTTCAAAAGTGCTACGGTTAGATGTTGGAAAAGTTATTTTCGGAGGAATAGTATATTCCGGACCTGTAATTCCATTTTGGATACTCCCATCCACATATGCTAGAACAATGATAGTCATTTTCTATCAGTTACTCCTGCGAGGGAAAATAATAAATCAGCAATTTTAGTTTTACGAAATCTATTACTTAGTTCATAATAATTTACATCAATTAGAAGCTACGTTGCAGAAAACACTTTTACATCTAATAAGTTAGTCTAATTTAAGATTAGGAACGATAAGACCAAGATAAAAACAATAATACATGCAGAGAGGGTGTGTACAACAACAATAGTATATTATCCAGATCAGTTAGGGCATGCACCTGTTGCCTCATGGTGAGCTGCCCTACGGCTGCCACTCGCACTTGTAGACGAACAATGCAAACAGAGTGTTCGTGATTTGTCGTGAGTAGTATCTACGACGCCACACTAAGACGGCGAGAGGCGGCGTGACCTGACGCGACGAGAGCGGCGCAGTCGCGCGGCTCCCGACTCCCAGGGTTCAGGACGTCGTGCTGATTGCCGACGATTGCTGCGTGTGATGCTGGGCCGATTCACGTGGTGGATGCTGTCAACGACAACGTCCATCAGTGGACGTAGTTCCTCCCAGCGTCCATTTGTGGACGTTGTTGTCTGTAGCGTCCTTCCTATTTTTCTAATTACTGATTCGAATTTACTATTTATTTAACTTTGAGGTTATTAATTATTATATAAAAAAATTCGGTCTAGTACTAGTTAAAAGCCTGTGTGATGCAGCATATTTTCTTAGAAAGAAAAATACAAATTTGAGTTGTTTCAGTATATATAGTAATTTTTTCTTCAAAGGGATTCAGTATAGTAAGTTGATTACACTCATAATAATAAACAAAATATAACTTTTATGATTTTCACAATATACATGCATGGATTATTCACATGACCTCTAAACTTTGCACTGTTCAAATCATTCCCACTATTTATGGGTGAGCGGATGGTTAGCAGTAGTTATTAGCAGTTATCAAATGAATGATTGGCCAATAATTACCAGCGCAGTAACTGTTTTTTCATTTCAAACAAATCAATTTTTATAAATCATTTCAAACAAATCATTCCGGAGAGGGAATAAAAAACAAGAGAGGAGATGTTTTCGTGGCCTCCGCGGCTCCACGCACCCCACCCGGTCAGCTCAGCTCGACTTGATCCATCACTGCCCGTTTCTTAGAAATCTGGTACTGATAATATAAGTGCCAGTTTTTAAAAAACATACTGATGAAGATTTGATATGTGCCGATTTTTTTATAAGAACCGGTAATATCGGTTTTTGTTACGAACCGATAAAATATGTGGTTATAGTTATCGGTTTTTAAATTAATCCTGTCAAAAGGATTGGTTTGCACGGAAAACCTCTCATAGATGCCAGTTTAAACTTAACCGACACCTATAAGGGCGTTATGGATGTGATGTTCTATACCGTGGACAAAAGCATATGGTTATACACATATTTATATTTAGGATTTTATATCAGCTCTTTGCATCGAGATGTCCTTAAGAGAAATACTACCGCTACATGCATGATGCTATAGGGTTTGGAACAATAGCCAACCAGCTCGCATGGCCAGGGATTGAAATTTCGGTTTGAAATTTCTAAAATCTTAGAGCCCCCGCAAGCAACTATCTCATCCAAATATTTTGCACTTATCCAAATTTGTGTGAGTTTGGTCAAAATTTATTCAAATTCAGTTAAAACTATAAATAATTTTATGAAAAAGTACCATGCGTGTAAATCCCCGCTAATAATCCTACCGATTGAGGGCACAATTGTTGGTATTGGTTACAATCACAGATAAATCTGCAAACGTACGAATACCGTTGTAGCACTTCACCTTAGAGTATTTTAAATATATCAAATCACAAAAAACGTGTATTTGAAATCTAGGAAACAGGTTCATCCAAGGAGCTGAGGATATATAGAGGGGATTTTTATGGGTTAAGATTCTGAAATTAGTTAAGGTAAAATTTTATCTCTTGCTTCGGGTACCGGTTTTCCCTTGGTCTGCCAAGCGAATCAGGTATACAACTCTATGATGTACCCAAATGTGGAGGATTACAAAAGACAGAGAAATGGTTGTCACCACCTACCGTCTATTCTATAACTCGTGGTGCACGCAACAAACAAAAGTAAAATTTAACTTAGACACCACGTCTACATTATCGATTACTACTCTAGCCTCGCACAAAAACATCATTCTTTATTTGTAGCCTTAGTATTAGTACTAGAGAATTAAATATAAATATTAAGGGATGAACCCCAAATGATAAAAATATATCTTACTTAAACAAGAAAATTAAATACCCAAAAAATCTTGAATACTAAATTTTATAAAAGAAACATCTGCCGAGGTAGAAGAGTGGAGACACTACCAACAACTCTGGCACACCTCTAGAAGTCCCCGTCTCCCCACTCTCTCTCCTTATTTTCTAACACTACTAGAGAGTAGTCTTGAATGAAATTGAGAGTTTTCCACTTGTTGAGTGTCTTCAAATGAAATGATAAACTCCTTTTATAAGCATCCTATGATGGTAGTTAAGTTGTTTTAACACCCCTAACCGCTATTGGGAAGCAATGATGAAGCGCCACGTGGAAGCTGGTGGCTTGGGGACACATGGGTGGTTCGCCTGAATCACTCCCATCTTCTCTGGCCACCGACTTTTTCTGTGAAGCTAACAGGTGGGATTTTATGATGGTGCACGGTGGATTGGCATCCATAATGTTGGTTTGCTCTGATTTTTGGACCCTCCAATTCGTGGACTCGCATTTGATTGGCCGGAGTTGTATTTCGTTGCATGGCGAGTGTATTTTCATCCAAAATCTCTTGCTTACAAATATTTCATTATACTCGTGGAAAATGGTTAGTAATAAACCCTACCACTACGTTCGGTGTTTCATTTTGTTTAGTTTTATGCAGAAGTTGAGGGTTAGATTCAGCATTTAAGGATCGTCAACAACAGTATTTCTTTGTTTTTTTTGTCTGGATTAATCCACTAATTGGTGCCAAACAGGCCCAATACATATGCTTGTAGGAGTATTATTCACGCCAGATTATTGAACAAAAACAAGCCTGGCAAATTCATCACTCCAGATGGATGGAAAAACAACTTGAATATATATTATTTAGCTTAGCATAACGTAATTCAAATTTCATCACAGTGTTTTCATTATCATTGTGTAGGAAGCTGACTACTGCAAAAAAAAAAAGTCCATTGGTGCCCGTTGGGAACCGGCCTTAGGTGCTAGATTTCCCCCGATGGTGGCATAGATGTGGAGAATCAAAAGTGTCGATTTAGGAACCGGCATCTTTGAGGTTTCAGAATTGAAAAAGGAGGTCGCCTCGAACGCATCGAGCCAATGCTCTCAGAAACAACAATTCCATAGGTGAAGAAATCAAGAACATCTACAATCTAGAACAAATCAAGAACATCTACCAGGAAAAAATCAAGAGTTCGGTGGTGGAGGCAGGGCTAGCTGCCAGGGTGGGTGGAGCAACTGTTGCCATTGCCACTGCCGCCACGCCGAGGAAGGGGAGTAGCCACCGTCGCCAGGGGAGCAGCAGGCGCCACGTTGGGGAGGAGGGAGCAGCTTCCGATGCCATCATGCCGGGAAGGAGGGAGCTACCCACCACTAGATGCGCGCGCCAGAGCGGCCGCCGCCGCCGTATCCGCACGCGCTAGCCACCGTCGCCATATCGAGGTGGAGAGATGAAGCGAGAAAGCGAGAGAGAAACAGAGAGCGAGAGCGAGAAAGACAGAGGGGGAGGGAGTGCATAAGGTGGGGGTATGGAGCGACGGAGGTAGTCGGTAGGATTGACTGGCTCAACTTAATCGGCTCAGTACATAGGTGCCGGTTTTTAATTAACCAACCTATAGTATAAGGGCTAGTTTTAATTTAGAACCAACACCTATAGACTATAGTTGCTTAAATGTATTGGTTTTTTATTTAAAACCTATGGAGGTGAGAAAAAGACTGTAGGTGCCGGTTTTAGCATTTTCAGCACCTATAGTGCCGATCTCTATGTGCCTTTTTATAGTAGTGGCTATCGCCAGCCACATCATTATCATATATATCTATCTATAAAATAAAAAAAAAATATCTCTGGCCAAAATGTTCAGAGTTGGAAATAAACTACATGAATGGTAAACCAAATTGTAACTGCTTGCAGGGTATTAGTTTCTGGTAAAACCGGTCCTTGTCGTTTCCGCAAACAAACTTACGGTCGCCCTTGGGGTGCAAAATGTCAAACCCGGCCGGACAAAATGCGCAGCTTCTCTTGTACTGGTCAAGTGGTTCTTCTGCATGTTAAAGATTAAAATAATTAATAATTTTGAACGCACATATCAGAATGAATATTATGCATGGATGAATGGATGAAGCATCAAATAATAGTCGAGACCAGTCTAGTTAAGAAGAAATCAAAGAAATAAATTAAAGCAAGTTTTCTTTTCAAACGAAAAGGTGCAGTGTTACTATCGATATAGATGGAAAAAATACAAGATATATTAAAGCTCTATAAGACTTTAATCAGGAAAAAAGAAAAGAAAAACACAACCACACACTGACAAACTAAAGCAAGTTATATATCTATGCTTACCAATGATGGTGCATGTTTCAACAATGGCAACTGGAGCAGGGAGTGGATCTGGCAGCAGCTGCTCCCAGCTGACAAATCCGCTTATAGTTATCAATGGCTTGTAGTGCAGTTCAGCGAAGAAGCGCTTGATCTTGTTGCTGCTGCGGCTGCGAGCCCAGAAGTTGATGTGGAACCAGTGCTGCCCCTTGAACACCACCCTTGCTTGCATCAGGGGTTTCACTACATCGAACTCACCACCCTACACCGGCCGTGCCAATCACGAATCATGCAACGGCAAGGAATCAGTAATTGGGAAACATAAGGTGAATTCCATATTTGGCCATTAAGGCTGTGTTTAGTTCGTGGGCTAAATTTTTTTTTAAGTATACGGACACACATTTAAAGTATTAAACGTAGACTAATAACAAAACAAATTACAGATTCCGCCTGTAAACTGCGAGACGAATTTATTAAGCCTAATTAATCCGTCATTAGCAAATATTTACTGTAGCACCACATTGTCAAATCATGGCGTAATTATGCTCAAAAGATTCGTCTCGCGATTTACATGCAAACTGTGCAATTGATTTTTTTTCGTCCACATTTACTGCTCCATGCATATGTCCAAACATTTGACGTGACGAAAAAGTTAAAAGTTTGAAGAAAAAAGTTTGAATTTAAACAAGGCCTAACTCTGCTCGAAGTCCGTTTTCAACGTAAACTATATGCAAAACCGGTGATTTTTTGTCAACTTTGGAAACTGGACATGACATCCTAAACCAGGTTTTATGATAGTTTTGCTTGATATTATAGTGATTTTTCAGTAGCATGACCTTTGATTATGTAAGTTTCATGGTTGTGAACCTAATTGAGTGATACATATTTGCATCAACAACATAGGTATATATAATAATTAATAAGAGTATGAGCAAGGAAAGCCATCTTCATTTTAGGCAAAACCACTAACAAATTTGCCCTAAGGTGTTGGTTAGCTAGTTTAATTTTCAAAGTTTACATAGAAAAATAACCGGTTTGTAGTTCAAGGTGAAAAATGAACTTTGAGCAAAAGTCTAAGAATAAACTTTACTCATTTAATTACTACTCAAATTAAATGAATCGCTCAAATGCACATACCGGGTGTCTGGCATTGTAATGGCGGAGAGCATTTTGGACGTGAGGGATCATCCAAGTGTCACGCTCTCTGCATCCAATACAATTAGAGTAGTTTGATTTTGTAAGTTAGTTATATATTCAACTTGCGAGATATACATAATAGCCAGAAAAATATACATAATATACAGATATAATTGTTCTGATCTATCGAAAATAACCATTATTTTCAGTAAATCATGGTCTCCAAAATATAATTTGTACCACATCTCATTTTATATTGCAATAGATTAGTAAAAACCTTATTAATTATGATATTATAAAATTATTTTGAGACAAATCTATAAGTGATTTTCATGTGTCCAATATTCATAAAAATATATTAATCTCTAACTTTTACACTACAATATGTTGAAAACATTCGCCACCAAACCAAGAATAATATGTCCAAAATGGCATGTTTTATTTTTTACGAGAGCATTATTTTGGTGTGAGTCTCATCCTCACTAACAGTAACTACGTGTCGTAGGAGGCGGTGGCGTGCGAGGCGGACGATATGGTCTGAGATAGTACTTTTGAGGATGGAGCGAGTACTATTTATTTCATATTCAACTTATTACTCTTGTATTTTCAGGCGTAGAGAAACTAACTGAATCGTAATGATGGTTAGGAAGAAACCTATACGCGAATCTAACCGCCAAAATAAAATAAAATAACCATAAAAATGCACGAAATTAATCCTACACGCACTGCAATCAGCAGCAAATCTACTGGCTAGAATCACTCTCCTTTTTTTCAAAAAAAAAAATCCTAATCGATCGGGAGGGGAATAGGATTTATACGTACTTCTCTTGGCGGCGAATCTTGGTGGAAGACGGCGGAGGAGTGTTGTTGTATCGCATTCGCCTCCACCTCCGGTCGCGGTCGTGCAGGTGGGTCTCCAGGCGGAGCTGCTCGCCGCGGGGCAGCTGCGGCAGAAGCTCCTCGAACGCCGGCGACGTCCATCCACTCTCAGATCCCATCACCCAATCCTCCATATATCACTCCAATTTGGTCTCCTCTTTCTCTCTCCCTCTCCACGCACTTCGATTTTCGTACGTGGCTTTCCCTTTTTTATATAGAGAGGAGAGCCCAACTGAGCCAGACGGTTCGGACCCGTGTCAAAAACGGAGACGAATAACGACCGGCCTCATGATCCGAATTATCCGATTCGGATACATGCTCCGTATCCGATGGAGCAGTTGCTCATCTGCAGCGGCCGAATAAAAAAGACCTATCGCGGTCCACCAGATACTCCCGTAAACCCAAAAGCTAGATATTACTCACCCTAGTTAGGGTCGGAGCTATAACGAAACAGAGAATGGTGCCACTTGCTTAATTTACTCTACTTTAGATCGAGTTTAAGCTGATACGGTTGCCTAAGTTTGTATTGAGGGGTGCATACATGGTGAAAATAGAAGAGGTATAGCTAAAAAAAATTTCTTGACCGGGTTACTGGGCACCCCCTTAATATATACTAGCTCCGCCCCTGACCCTAGTACCGGACAAATTACTCTCTTCAACCCAATTCAAAGCGGTTTTATCCAATGTGGCATACACGTGGCAACCCAGTCAGCATTTTCCTTTAAAATAATTGGTGGGACCCATGTGACATACCTCCTCTTCACCTCTTCCTAATCTCTCTCAGGCGCAGGTGTGTACGGCGGTGTGCGGGGTGGGGTGGGTAGTGCGCGGCGACGCGAGACGAGGACGGGGAATCGGTAAGTGGGCTCCGCGCAGGGAAGGGAAAGGAGGCGGCCGCCGTAGCAACAGCTAGAGAGCGAGCTCTGCACCGGCGTGTCCGATTTCTTCAGCGCCGGCGTGTCCAAGATCCGCGCCGCCGCCACCACCAGAGCTGGCCGAGTGCTACCCGGCATGTAATACACCGCGTCCTCATCAGACGACCCTTGCGTCAGCGCAAACGCCCCTCACCGCAGCGGTGGGAGCGGACCTTGCGGTACGGGCAGACCACCGTTGAGCAGCCTACCACGTCAGTTTGCATCCCTGCTATTGCGCCAGCTCTAGCATGCGCGTGGCCTGGCGGCGGCAGGGTGGCGCGCCAGCCGGCTCGTGAGGAGGAACGCGACCACAATGGCGAGTAGCGCGAGGACCGCGGCGACGGCAACGGAGGCGACCACGATGGCAGCCTTGGGCATGCCACCGCTTCCTCCACACGACGCCTGCGGGTCCGGCCTGCTACGCGACGACAACACGTCAGCGGCGATCGTGTTCGGCAGCGGCGCGGGGAGAAGCCTTGGGCTGCTGTTGTCCACGAGGGTGGCGGTGGCGGGTGTTGGGGGGTCGGAGGAGAAGTCCGAGGACGGTGACGGTGTCCACTCGATGGGGAAGAGCGGCTCATGAAGCACCTGGCGCACGTCGTCAGCGCCGACGGTAGCCACTACCGAGAGGAAGAGGAGGAGAGTGAGTGAGGGCGACATTGATGATGAGGAGAGAGAGAATGTGTGTGATCTTGGATTGTAGAGAGAGAAATATAGGTGTGTCCCACCAATTTTTTTAAAAGAAATGCTGACAGGATTGCCATGCGTATGCCACATAGGACAAAACCGCTCTAGATTAGGAGAGGGGGGTAATTCGTCCAGTATTGAAAGTTCAGGGTGAGTAATCTCTGGTTTTCGGGTTCAAGGGGGTAATTCGGTCGACCGCGATAGTTCGGGGGGTAATTCGTACTTTTTCCTTTTAAAAAAGAAAGTATTATGCAACCCCTCCTGCTACTGAGGTAGTCCAAAAGGGATTGCATAGTTCTACAAAAGTGGAGACACAAGATATAGGGTGAGGCACTCTTTTCATTGATTAAGCACAAGTGTACAAAGTGAGCAGCCTCCTCTTTATATAGCCATATTGCATATATGGAATGTTTAGGTGTGGGCCCAATTAGTGTATATGGGTTGGGCCTTCATGGACCCAACCCCATAGGTTTCCTAACACTCCCCCTTGGCACTCACCGCGTGATGTCTATGCCTCATCAAAACTTCAGAAAAATCCAGTGGGAAAAATTTAGAGAAAGAGTACATAGCATACGCTTGCAATGTCACACGAATCGCCTCGTTAAAAACCTTGATAAGAAACTGCTGGGAAAACTTATCTAAGAGAAAAGAGTACAATTCACCTAATTCTTCGTTCAATCTTTCTAGATTGATTTTGGGTACTTGATTTTCTATATCAAGAATCTAGAATGAGTCAGCGAAATTCTCCCCCTTAATTTTACATTTTTCTAAGTCTCATTATTTCGATTCCTCGGACACACCTATTCAAAAGAAGATGTCAATAATGAGTTAGTAAAAAAATATGCAAGATTTCCACATAACTTAGTTGGTTGCTTCTATACAATTCATGTATATAGAAAAGCTTGGAGTTCATGTGATTAATGAGCTTTGCTTCGCAAGTTATTCATTTGCATATGCGCGACATATGCTGCTTTAATTTCATATATGATGGGGGTTGAGATAGTTTTCAAACCACTATTGTTGAAGCAGGACAACCATCTCTCAAAACCATGTCGAGGCTCTGAATAGTTCAACCATACTTAGTTCGGTTTAGTTCAATTAGCGAAGTATTCGTGTGCTGCTATGACACTCTTGTGTTTGTGTTTGGGAATTCCGTCCCATTTTGGCGATAATTGACTTCTTCAAAAACCATGCACCTTGAACATTTTCTAAGTGTGGTTGGACTGATGTACTAGACTTCCATCTATCGCATGCCTTTAGCTGTAAGCATAAGCATGATCTGGATTCGTCTGAATATTTCAAATCAAACTCAAATTCAAAACAAACAAGTTTGTTTCTTCAATTCTTTCTACATTACCCTATTCATCCTATGTTAGTTCAAGACTTAGTACTTCTTCATGTACTGTTATGCAAGTGTTCGATTCAAGTTCCTAAAATGTATTAATTGATTATATCTTCAATGCTTATCAACATTCAGGTTGAGTTCTTCTTTTCAACTTCTAGTTCATTAATTCCATTCAACTCCTGGTTGACTGCCAATGAGTTTTGTTGTCTAAAAAGACATTGCCCATAATAGGTCTCATTGCCAACTTCTATTGGTTATATGAGACTCTATGCGAGTATCCATGGATATACAAGGAGATGCATTTTTCATATGCTTCTTCTTTCTGCTTAATGCTTTTTGATGTGGGCATGTACTAGCGTTAGTGTGCACTCCAACTACTGGTTTTCTTCCTTGATGGGAAGATGTGGCACGCCTGTTCTGAGGTTTCGTAGCATTTGCCAGGTGTCAACTTGCCTCCACGATCTACACTCCACTACTGCACTACCACAGCGAGAGCAATGAACGAGTGGAAGGCCACTAGGACCTATAGCAAACCGAGCAGTTGCACCAACGAATGGGATTCAATGTCACGCCCAGAAATTCCCGAATAGAATTCCAAGCAGAATGTGCATCAAAACCCCCGTCCAGGACCGGCCGGGGTACACAAACGACAAAGTTGACATACAGATCCACGTCTTACAAACATTATAAAAGGTCTTACATAAATGCAGCGGAAAATTAAAAGATAAATGGAGCTAAGCCTTGACTTGAACTGCAGCGGGAACAACACTCCACAGGCATCCTCGACGGCTCGGACGAAGCCTACTCCTCGGAGAAGCCACCATCTGACACCTACTCAAACTCTGGGTTTTGGGGAAAAATAGAGCAAGACTGAGTACAACCACCGTACTCAGCAAATCATATCGGAACAAGAGGTATGATGCAGGATATTACCAAAGGATAGCTAGAGAGGTTCTTTTGCATAAAGCGAGCATTTATAAACAGTAGTTGAAAGCAGTAAAACAGATGTAATAATTAATCAATATTAACCATCCACTGTCCAACGCTACACCACGTTGCAACAGGCCCAACCATCCACCTGAACTAATCAATTCCATAAGACTAAGCTAGGGTGAGACTAATCACGGTGAATTTGGTTGACCGCCCATAACCGCGGGCACGGCTATTCGAATAGTTTTACTCTGATCAGAGGTGTACAACTGTACCCACAAGACACAGCCCCACGACACGTTCCCGTGTGCCAACATGCCACCATGACATATCAGATAGAGGCCGTGACAGAACTTTTCGCATAACCCCCTCTAACCAAGCACACCACACCTCAGGTTTCACCCCCACTCCTCGCAAGGCAACGGGCAGTCCCCTCTCGTGCCTAGGTGAATCCGGAAGCCGCATAGGCCGTCGCAGGGCCCATCCAAACTCCATCACTCCCACCCTTGCCTGGATGCGTCAGCTAGAGGAAAGCTACACTACACGCCCAGCCGTTGCCCACGCTGGCTTGTGGCAAGTACGAGGAATTCTTCCAGGGTTTCCCGCGAACCGGTCCTTAAGTGCCATGGGCGCGACCATCAAAACCATGCACCCACATCCCATCATATGGTATATTTTAATTGACTAACACCAGAACAGTAGCTTTAATCCAACACCAACACTAGAACCTGATGTCTAAGCATTAATGTGATTTCCCCCATTGTGTGCTAGTTGAACTAAGCAAGGCTAAGCAATCCCTAGTCCAATCCCTAGTCATGTTATATCCCAAGCTAACAAAGGAGCATGGTACCAAAAATAGCATGGCTGTAACAGTAGGTAAACATCCCATAGTAACATTATAAAACAATGCAGTATTTAAGGGAAAACGGTAGAGCATTTGCAATATAGGATCAATATGTTCAAGTGACAAGTATGACTTGCCTTGCTCTGCTGCTGGAGGAACCTCGGCGACTATTTCAAAGTACACCGGAGCGTCGGGAGAGCCGGAATCTAAGCGACATACAAAGCAAACAATACAAACATGCTATAAGACTACTGAAACAGAGAACAAAACCATTTTTAATGGATTCTATGCATTTTTCTTGATTTACTGAGACTTGAATGGGCTTAAACGGAGCTCGGATGAATTAGATATGAATTTTAGAAGATTCACTGTGTTTTTACTCTAAACAGAAAAATCCTTAATTGATTTATTGCGCAATAATTAAAATCCCGAGAGAGAGAGGGCGGCGCCGACATGCGGGCCCCACATGGCAGTGACTCGAGGGGGCGGTCCATGGTGGACCAGGTCCACGGACCGGGGAAGGAGCGGCGAACCACGTGGTGCACACGTGGCGCCGACGCGGCGCACACGTGGCTGCCACGTGGCAGCCACGCGGGTGGTGGGGTTGGACGACGGTGGAAGTGCGTGGCCTGCGCGCACGGGCGGCTCAAGCCGGCCCGGCGGCCATGGCGCACGGCGGCGTGGCTCGACGCAGCGGCAGCACAAGGCGGTGACCGGCGGCGACCGGCCGGCGGCGGAGGGCGGCGGCATCGCGGCGACGCGGACGGCGACAGCGTCGGCTAAGCGGCTCGGCGGCGACGCGGCAACTAAGCGGCTCGGGAGAGAGGGAGGAAGGGGAGGAGGGGCCTCACCGTCGACGATTGACGACGGCGAGCGACGGAGGGCGATGGCGACAACGGGATGAGCTCCGGAACCACCTAGCGAACACGAAGAAAGGGGTTAGAGAGAGAGAGAGAGGAAGATGGAAGAGGGCGAGGAAGCCGACCGAAGGTGGCAGCCATGGCGGAGCTCACCGGCGTGCGGTGCGAACGGGGTTCCCGCAGTGGAAAGCGGCGGCGGAGAGGCGGACGGCGTGGCCATCGGGCTTGCGAACCCGACGGCGGCGACGGCTCGGCTCGGCGCGGCGGCTAGCGGCTACCGGAGCGGCGGCGGCGGCGGCGGCGGAGAGGAGGGCGACGGCGCTAGGGCGATAGAGGGCACGGGAGAGCTCGGCGAAATGGGGAAAAAGAGAGAGGGGGAGAGCGGGGATGCTTAAATAGGGGAGAAGGGGCTCGGACGTGGCCGGGAGTAGCCCGATTTCGCCGGCCGACGTGGGGTGGTGGAGGAGAGAGGGCGTGGCCGGCGGGATTCAAAATTGAATCCCGGCCGTTTCGGCGTGGGCGCGGGCGGGAGAGAGAGAGGGAGTGGGCGCGGGGTCGCGGGGAAAGCGGGCGCGGGTGGCGACGTGGGCAACGTGGCCCGGGAAGCGCGGGCGCGAGGGGGCGGCGGCGGTTGCGGGATGCGCGGCGGCGGCTGGAGGTTGGGGGAGGACTCGACAGGTGGGCCCCACCTGTCGACAACCCCGGGAGAGAGGAGGGGGCTCGGGCGGCCGGCTAGGCCGTGGCCTTCGGCCGGCCCAGCGGGGAGGGGGAGGAGGAAGAGAATGGGCCGGCGGCCCATTCGAAAAAGAAAAAAGGGGAAAAAGGAAAAGAAAAAGGAGGAAATGAATTTTCTTGAGATTAAATATTGCTTGTGCTTATTTTTAATTGGTTTAAATTATTTCTAGAGCTCTAAAAATTCCACTAAAAATCTTGTTAGGATATTTCGACATGTAGAACTCAAGAAAAATTCCACATGCCAATTCCGATTATTATTTGCATTAATTTATTAGGGTTTCTCTCTTGCTTTTACACCGATATTTTCTCTAGGTGATTTATAAATTCAATTTAGGCTTGAGAAAGAACTTCAGGGTGTGACATTCAGCCATGCGGGTGGGAGGAGGAAATGAAAGGGTGACTACGACGGCAACGACAACGCCTCCATAACTCCAGCCACACGAATCTACAATGGTGCCTAAGCAAAGCGGCAGCCCTTGTCAACGAGAACTACGACGCGGCGAGGATGAATGGCTACACCAGCTCGACTTTGTTCAACCAACCGTATGGGTATTTTGGTCAGATCAGCTATGAAAAAAAAGGAGAAAATCCCATTAAATGGTAAATATGGCATGGTAGCGGGTTGACAACGCTACGGAGTCTCTTTTTAACAAAACGATTTGGTGGAGTAGCATTCTAGCGAAACCCTTTTTTAGGAGTGGCGCAATATCTAATTTCTCGTTACTGCATGTAATTGTATAGGTTCCATGTTTTGTTTATTCAAGGAATTACAAGAAATGGAGTATCAGCTTATGAATAGCTAAAAAATGTCAATGTGCATGCAGCACCTTAGCGTTTTATATTTATATTGGCAAAAATAGTGCACCTTAGCGTTTTATATTTATATTGGCAAAAATAGATAATAGACAAGAAAGCTTAAATACACAACATGCATGGAGAGCCAACTGAAAGTCAAAACTAAAAACGGAGAGCCAACTGAAAGTCAGAACTAAAAATTTAACAAATCTAGAGGTTGTTCGGTTGGCTGCCGAAGGTGCAACGCTTTATTTTGCCACAAGACATACACAAGTGTGGCAACATGTGGCTAGAAACTTTAGGGCGAAACCAAACCAAGTTGAAGTGTGGCAAACTTTGTACTACTATTTGGTAAGGTGAAGTGTGACAAATTTAGTAGGCTCCATAGAGGTTCAAAAATCAACTGAAACACAACTTTTTTATCATACAAACTACTTATGTATCCGCCTAACAACCACTAATAGGATACACTGGCAAAGGACTTTTTTATCATACAAACTACTTATTTATCTGCCTAACAACCACTAATAGGATACACTGGCAAAGGATTAAGTTGATCCAGATCCAGAGGGAGAGGATCTACCCTCAGTACACACACTTTCTCCAGCTCCTCAAATCCGATCCACCTACTTGGCCCAGTCTGCGCATGGTTATCCAATATAAGAATCTGTAGCTCCCCTCCACGATGTCTGTAACCATAACAGACAATAACGTGGTTACCATTTGTCTCACTGATCAAATCACAGATATCATTGTCCGTGGCCCTTCCCGCAACAAGAGCGTCAATCAGCCAGACGTCTGCAGCAGTTCTCAACTCAGGGGGTACCCACCTATAGACTAGTTCATCATTAACTGAGGCATCAATAAAGTGGTATAGGAGGGACACCCGAATGATTCCAATGTAAGGGCCACCCGTGCGCAGGAGGTGCACAGCGCGCTCTCGTGTGAGACTACCTTTTTGGCGGTACATCCGCCACGATTTGAGCGGGAGGAGAAAGGGGGCTGGTGGTGGAGCATTGGTTGTGCGAATACCACCCATGCCCTTTATCTTTTTCAGTAAAAGAACCATTTTCTTTGATTCGACTCCCTCCTCTGGGTGCAAAATATCATCCCGTATGCAGGCCCTGCGGAGCTTGCGAGGAGCTGCAGCCCGGCACAGGAAGGTACCAGGACCGTGCAGCCGCTCCCACTCCAAACGATGTAGCGCTTCAATGCATACAGCACATGCTAAAATGGTGCAGGTATCTGCAGGTAAAACACAAACACAAGGCATGGTTAATTAATCTCTTGGCCTACTTTACGAAGTGAGAAATCAATTCTGGTTAGTACTCACTTGGTATTGTTTGTTTCATGGGATTACCCATTATGGACCACCAACTGAAGTCCGCGGAGAAGTTACGAACCACAGAGCTCACTACAGTATAGGTGCTTTCTTGAGCATCAGCACTAAGATCCTTGTGTCCCTCACATCTTGCACCAATCTGACAAAAAAAGAGTGAAATTAGTGTATGCAACTAGAATCCATAGTTAAACTTACTATTTTATAGTATCCATAAAAGAGATTTAGTCGTACAAGACCTCGTGTATATCATGCCTTTTTTTTACTAGGGATGTACCAGAAAAATGAACATATCCACTGGTTGCGTTCTGAAATACACATCCAAATATTCACAATTTTTTAAATCATACACTTTCATTTTTATAATGAGTCAATCAGTCAAACCTGGTAGTGTACATAAGGTTGCAACTGAAGAAATACTAAGACCAAGCATTCCAGAAAACAAGAAAAAAAAATGTAACAGAGGCTGAATCTTTCAACCTAACAGTGATCTAAGTGATTTACTAGTGGCCAATTAATTCCACATTGCCAAATTCCATGTACACATTTATATTAACTTCATCTGTAACACCATTTAACAAGACTAAAAGCTCAATCATTTGAATGTAAAATTTCTTATGTTGTGATATAAACAAATAATCTCCCATGCTTTTACAGTTCAACGAAAATGCATCACAGTAAACGGCAAACCGGCTTAGCGCAATCAAGAGCAACTAAATCTCAAATGTTTCAACAAAGCACAAGATATAGTTGTTGCATGTATCAAAGTTTCGTAGCACGTGTTTAATACAGTCAAAACAAAAGGCCGATTTCCACCCCCAAACATTTTTCTTAAGTAATTTCGACTCTACTCTGGATACCTAATCATTTAAACCAAGAAAATCTCTGGATTACAGCAAATCCACAGGATTGATAGAAATGAATGACACCAAAGGTTCCAGTTCCAAATTACAACAAACCACGTTGACACAAGAACCGCATGTAAGCAACGTAATAATCCCAACATTTCACCCAAACGCTAGGATCCCAAATGCCACATTCCCAACAAAAAAATTGACACAGGAATGCCCAGCGTAAACTAGAAAATTGAGTAAACTTCAGCTTACTTTTTCTGGAAATATTCCAGGTGTGCACGAAATCTCAAGAATAGATGGCTTCAGGACTTCTTGATTTCTTATCACAAAATATGACAGCAATAATAGCATGACCATGAGCATGTACATGTGTATCCCCAAATTACACAGGCAGCCGAATTACACTAAATGAGATATGGTTTCACCTCAACAAACAGAAATCAAGAAATCCAATATCCTAATTTAACATTGCAGCAAACATGAAACGCACATGAATCAAGAATTAAACATATCATCATTAGACCCCCACCCCACCCAAGAAAAGCAAGAAGTGAAAAATTACCTCTAGAAGGTGTGAATTGCTGAGAAGAGCAAATCTTGGCCACTCGCGGACTTCTCTCTCGTCCTGATCCACCACCGCCGCAGCAGAGGCGGAGGTCGATGCCTCGGTGCCGCGCCCTCCTGCTCCTGCTCCTAGCTCCTCACCGCTCAGCCTCTCGAAGGGCGGCGAGGACGAGCTGGCGGCACCCTCGCTTGCCGCGCACACCTTCCTCTTTCCCTTCCGGTCGACCACCGGGAAGGCAGCAGAGGCCAATCCCTCGGCGCCGCGGCCTCCGCCTCCGGGGTGGTCGCGGGCCAGCTTCTCGCCGAGGCGCCGCGGCGACGAGGAGGCATGGCCGCCGCCCTGAGTTGCCGTGGAGGTCTTCTTTCCCTCCCGGTCACCCACCGCCACCGGGGAGGCAGAGGCCGAACCCTCGGCACCGCGGCCGCTGCCCCGACCTCCGGGCTGCTCACGGGGCAGACTCTTGGCGACGCGCGGTGGCGGCGGCGGTCGCGAGGGCGCGTTGGCGGCGGCGGCGGCGCTGGGCTTCTGGTGGGCCGCCTCGTAGTCCCCGCGCCCAAGAACCGGTTCGGTGGTGTGGCCGTCCCGGTCTTTTGCTGAACCGGGCGCCATTGAGGCGGGAAGATTGGAAGAAACGGGAAGCGGGGGCTAGGTCAAAATTCTTGAGAAGTTGAGGGAGTGGAGGAGAAAATGCGTTCAGAGGCAAGGGTATCGATGTGAATTATGAATTTATAGGATGTAGTAGTACTAAAGAGACTACTAATCAGGTTATTGAGTAACGAGTAAAATAATAATAATAATAATAGAAAAATCTGATCATATTAAAAAAGTGAGGAAAAATTAGTTTTGCACAAGCCACGTTATGAAATATAGTACCATTTTCTAAAAACAATTCCATCCATATTACCCCGAATATTTTTCAGCGAAACCGTTTTGAAACCGTTTTAAGGCCACGGTGCACCATAATGATATGCATTTTCACCTTGTCGTGCTATACCAATGCCAAATGAGAGTATGAGAATGTTCGTTTTTGTTCCTTTTAGAAAATGGAATTGTGACTCAAGCAAATCTTTTTGGCATATAAGGACCAAAATTGCTTGTTTGTCCATGTTTTTCATGTATGCAATTTATATTTGATTAATCATCAAGTTGAGTCATATTTAGACTAAATTATACTTCCAACTTTGGTCATATAACTACTGAATATTTTGCAGTGGATTTCGGTGATGACAGAAATTTCAAAAAAGAAAGACCGAGACCAAATTGATCAGTCTCACCAAATGCCCACCCCTACTCCTACATATCTGAACTAAATTAGCGTGACAATTGATCGGGTCGAGCAGCAGATATGTGGAACTGCTTTGTATAACAATTTGTACTAAACGTGCATTTACCAGAAATGATATGACCAGATATTCTGCAACCTTGTACGGAGAGTGGCACGTATGTCTCACTACAGGAATATATGCTGTTACACGACGAATCAAGAAATAAAGAAACCTATGGAACCCAGTAATAATGGTCGAAAGAATTGCATGCCCTGCCCTTTACTCCTATAATAACTGAACTGAAATGGCTACCCAGTAGTCTCCTGATGGACAACTTCTGGAAACCGTAACATCAGCTCCACCAATCTTATTGTGCTACAGCAAAGTTACTTTTTTTTACCAGTGTAAGTCACAACTGAACACAGAAGTCCGAATACCAGCAATTGCAATTTTAACGTAAAGGAGGCACGAGGATAGGTCACAAGAAAGGCAAAGGATAAAAGTTACAAGCGTTGTATGATACTATGATCACTATTTTATCTTCCATCCGACAACATAACACTCACGATCCACAGCATGCAGATTTCTGCAAAGTTGTGGCCTCAGCATCACCCTCTGGTTTGTTGATCTTGATCGTGCGATCCTGAAAATCGAGCATGTTAAATAACCTTCAAGTATCATGTTGCTAATTTTGAAGGGAAGAGAAGATGGAGATTTATACCTCAGTCTTGGAATCAGTCTCCGCAAGTCTTTGCTTAATATCCCTTGCTATTGAAAAGAAAACCTGCTCGACATTCAGGTTTGTCTTTGCACTCTGTAGCCAACAAACAAATTATGCACGTGTAATTATATGAGAAACCGTGCATTGCACAACTGGTTACATATTATTAAGACAGAAGCGCAGATATTAAAACAGATTAACAACTAACCGTTTCAAAGAACTTGATGCCATATTCATCAGCAAGTGCTTGCCCCTTTGAAGTTGGTACGGCCTGTGTTAATATAATACAACCAATTAAAAATTAAGCCAAAAGGTGTCCAAAATAATAATTTGAAGACTGGAGTAATCCCCAAGATAACGCTATATACCATAGCACCAGAAAGATAGCTTTCATACATTGAGAATGGAACAACAAAATACCAAACATTTAATTGCTTTTATTTTTTGCATTGAGCTTTTTCACGTCTTGATTTTAATTGCTATTCTGCATTTTAGTTCTATAAATTATTGCTACTCATCATATATATCATTGTGTTAAAACAGCATTATATGCTTGTATGGAACACATACTTTGATAGTCTGTACTTTCTTGCAAAGGTTATATGAGAAATAGTTACTGAGCAGAACATACCCTTTTGCTTTCATCCATGTCAGCTTTGTTGCCTACCAAAATCTTGTTCACATTATCGGAAGCATGTTGCTCTATGTTCCTAATCCAGTTTCTTATATCTGTCAATAACACCACCAAGATCAGAAGTGGAAGGTGAAGTGCCATAACAGAAGATTAGCAGAAGTGAAAGAGTCGGTACTATTAAATGATGACTCGTCGGTGACATCATAAACAAGCAAAATACCCATTGCTCCCCTGTAGTAGGCTGCATTGCACAAAGTATTCAGATGAACAGCAGTATATCCATGTAATTGTTCAAAACAAACTTGACTTCAACTGAAAATAAACAACCATACCAGTTGTAATAGTTCGGAAACGTTCTTGACCAGCTGTATCCCAGATTTGAAGTTTAATCCGTTTACCATCCAGTTCGATTGTTCTTATTTTGAAATCAATCCTTTTTCAAGAATTAAAAATAAAAAAGTTTTTAGATGCACTGCAATAACTTGTACAACAATAATCCAGTCAAAAGCTTCTTTTCTAACTTGTACAGCACTTACCCGATGGTGGTAATAAAACTGGTGGTGAAGGAACCATCAGAGAACCGTAGGAGGAGACAACTTTTCCCAACACCTATACAAGGATTTTTTTTTAAAAAAAAAAGAAAGTCAGGTGCATTATCAGACATATGATTAGTCCTACAGGTTATAGTATGTTTACAACAAGCACGATAGCGAGTCCATGAAAAACAACTTGATGAAGATAAAGTGGAAATGTAAAACGGATACCAATATACGATCAAGTCATACATTCAACAAACATATATCATTTCACATTTTCCACTAGAACATCTACACAACACTTAAGCTAGCCAGCTTGGCTTCTTCTCAATAATTAAAATTTAGTAACCGTCTAAATACAAAGATAGATCTGGTTTTAATGATAATATGGATATCATATCATATCATACCCTGTGGTAAGCAAACTGTTATTTTAGGCAAAGAAGATCAAAAGAAGTGCAAATCAAAAAAAAAATATTGCACTTCTTTTTTGTTACAAACGACCATAGAATTGTTACTGACTGAAAAAGCAGCACCCAAAAAGTACAAAATAAATTATCAAGGACAATGGAACTAGAGAGAAGAAGTAAGCACTTCTGTGTTTCTTTTTATTGGCTTCCCAGTTCCCAGAAAACTCAATTAAGTAACATTCATTGAGAAACCAGTATATGTATTTTTCCCATAATTTTAATGATGGTGTAGCCACAACGTATGGCATATGCTACTGAATGAGATCAGCATTTTACTTCATACACTAAATGCGCTTGTAGTTTGACTAATTGTTGGTCAAAACCTACAAATTTTGACTTTCTGGAATTAAAATGTCCCCGATAAAAATCACAGAAGGAGTAGCTAGATGATATATCAGTGTGACATTAACTAGCTAAGTCAAGACAGAAGACATACTACTAAGTAGTTTGAGATCCGTGTTGCAGAACTGTATTAAGGAAGAGAGTTGAAAAATGCTTATCAGCTCACAAGTCGACATACAAGGGATCATGAGTTTCTTTACTCACTTTGATTCAACTGAGTAGACGTGACAGAGCTATTAATGCATTCAGAGTTTGCTTAATCAAGGATAAGGAACGAAAGGAAGCTTAAACATTCACAATGTTTTCACATCGCAAGTTCGCAACAAACAATAACAGTCATAGAAAGGTTTATACATAAATTTTGAGTAGTCTTACTGCAGTGATGTCTATTGTTAAGATAACCGCATGTATATTGTGCATTTTCATGAGCAATTGAACATTGATAATAAAAAATTTCAAAGTAACAAACAGAAAAGGAAAAAAAAAAAGCTCTTGTACAGTCAACATTCACAATTCCTGTGCTTGAAGCAACTTTGGGTCTTCAGCATAGCTCCTGAGTGGAACATATGCAACTTGTCGGTGCATGCACGAAATCACTCCAGGCTCATCTTGCACCAAAACGTCGAAAATGTACGGTAATCCGATTCACCGAATCGGGTAGCTGTTCCACGCGAGCTTGAGCGCAAAGCACCATGTCGGCTGATCAAACCGGCCTCAGCGATCCACCCCGACCCAGATCCCCCCACCCCCAAACTCACCTCACACCAACAATCCCACCGAATCGGAACTCAAATTCGCAGGTGAAACCCAACCAGATCTCGCGCGCGCTGCGCGGGATCGATCGCCGAGCGCGCGGCGAGGGGAGAGCGAGCGGGATGGCGCAGATTCAGCTACGTACCGCTGTCGCCGATGAGGAGCAGCTTGATGAGGTAATCGTAGTCGGCCCGAGCCCTCGCCGGCGGCGCCGCCATCGATTCCCCCAATCCCCACACTAGAGCGTCCCCTCCCCCTCAACGGATCGAACTGGGCTGGCGGACTGGCGCGCGGGAGGCGAACCGGATCGAGCGATCTCGCTACAGGCGGAGGCGGCGGCGGCGGCGGCGGGTTCCGGCCTCTCCTCCTCCGGTCGCCGAGCCCTCGACGCTGGCTGCGGCGGCGAGGGGACACGGACGCGGCGAGATCGGAGGGAGGGGGAGAGAGAGAGAGAGAAGGGGAAGGAAGGAAGGAAGGAGGGTGGTGGTGGTGGAACCGGTCCACCGTGGACTTTTAAATCGGATGGATTTTCACTTATACACGCGGACGCGGGTGAGAAATGAAATCTCTCTCCAGTTTGTTGGTTTGATGGAGCATGGATTTATTTATACGAGGTTTGAAATTTTTGAATTTTTTTAGAAATAATACTATTTAATAGAAAATTGTAAAAATATAGATCGACCGACTAAAACCATATTGTTCGATAAGTACCTGTCAAACTACGGTTGTTCGTAGGTGTTACGTGCTAAAAAATAAAATTTAAAAGCTCATGGTGCAGTGCACAGTCTGCCATTGCAGTTGGGTGTTGGGTGGGAGGACCTATTGAACAACCTTGCCTCCTGCATGGATGTTCTCTTTTCATATATTTTTATTTTTTAAAAAATACACTAACAACCATATCGAACAAACTGATGTGGTACATTCAGTACTAATCGTATTAAAATTGTTCGATATGTACTCTGCTGAACTTTGGTTGTTCAACAGGGTAATAAACTCGTGATTTTAGTTGAGAGACCTCTATTTTCACGATTCTTTATTAAAATAATATTATTTCTAAAAAAATCCAAAAGTTTTGAACTGCTGAATCGGGGATTTGCACACGGTTTGAAATTCCGGACTATACCCTATGAAATCATCAATATGATTATATGAATATGAAAAATATATGGAGTGGAAAGATGTTTTCTTCAAGTGAAATTTATATGAAAATTCTTATAATACCATATCCGCGAGTAGTTCAAATGCCCAAACATGAAGAAGCACTAGAGGTTTAATTCGTAGTGCTCGTAAATATTATGCACGGCTCCCATTACCCGTAAATATTATGCACGGATGAAATCAATAGGAATTAGTTAGGTCAAAGATTTTCATCTCTTCTAGAATGCGCTAGAAGGTGCGAAACCCAGTGGGTTAGATGGGTTAGATCCCTTGTGTAGGTGATGTATCCGTCAATAGCAAGACATCCGTAACTGTTGTAGGTTCGTTAATATTAAGATATACTCCCTCCATTCCTTAATATAGGGCGCAACTGCTTCAAACCCTAATACCAAGGAGGCTTAACTGTTTTCTCGAGGTGACGACGTATGCAACGCTTCGATCTGCCCGTGTGCAGCATGCATGCAGCTCTTCGCATCTGCAAGAGATAAGCAACCCAAGAAACGAAGCGCTAACTCCACGCATTGAAAGCGCACCAAGTTTCATGCTTTTGTTTTAATGCTGCTTGCTGCATGTGCATGCACGCCCTATATTCTGGTGCACTTCAAAAACCAGTTACGTCCTATATTATGGAACGGAGGGAGTATTGTTTAGTATGTGCTCATGTATCGTGTATGTGCAGGTACCGTGTTTCAAAAAGAAAGAATGGGCTAGGAGGTATTTTTATAAGGTGCTTCCATGGAGCAAAGTTTCTATTTATTTTTATAAGGTATCTTGTGATTTTTTTTTAAAAAAAGGGTTTTACTATTTTAGTTATGACGAATATTTGGGCTCCTATTTTTTTTATTTTTCTTTGTTAGGATCTTTCATCGAGATTCGTGTTCATGTAGATCTAACTTGTAGTTACACTCAATCATAGCGCACTTAGGGTATCCACAATGTAGTGTAAAAGTAGTCCATAAGCAATAGAATATTCCATTCAGCCACCTATTACCATTGTGCAACTAGTCCATATAGAAAAAATAGCAAAAGATACCCATATGGAATAAATTATATTATCTATCTCTACTCCTCTCTCTTCTCCTAATGATACCTTGTATCTAGATATTGCCATAGGGATAAACTATTTATGTGGTCCCATCTATATGGATCACTGTCATATATATTGGTGATGCCCTTATACTTGGTTATGGAGCACTTATACTTCATAACAGAGCACCTAAAAATTAGATTTTATAACTTTGTTTATCTAGATTTACAATTTTTGACATGATTATTCTTTTTTTATTTCATTCAAAACGGGATATATGTATTGGTTGAAATTTCTACAATATCTAAGGCAGTGTTTGGCAAATGGGAAAGGGAAATGATTTCCCACCCATCTTTAAATCCTAACCATTTATTCTCCATGATCCATTTAATCCTAACTCTTCATTAATTTCCCAATCCCAATCCCACCCCCCATTTCCCATTATCCAAACACACCCTAAAACTCCAAATCTATTGAAAGATAAATAGATTGTCCTCAAACTTTGTGAATTACGACCAACAAGGCAACAATTAGATTTCAAAGTGTTTTCATATATTTATACAACCATCACAAATATGTTTTAAGAGAAATAATCGGTCAAAGCTTACGAAGAAGACAGTTTTAAGTTAAAATAAGTTTGATAAAAAATCAGCAGATAGTGATTTACACAAGGAACAGAAATGATATGCAGGAGTAATAGGGAGAAGTCATCTGGCACAACAATTTAGAGAAAAGAAGGGTCGTTTTGGCTAATGGCTGCTGCAATACAAAGAGGCAAAGCGAGAAGATTAAAAAAACAATCGGGCAGGCCACAAAAATTTGAAAAAAATTAGCATAAACTTTCCATTTGCCTACAATTGGCAATCAAACAAAAAAGAAGTGCTCAACTAGACATCCGGTAAATTATCCGCAAAACTGTTACATCGGTAGAATCTCACAGCTAACCAAGATCATAGTTCAACAGTTGTCGAGAAATAGAAACTTCCTATGAAACTTCTGAAGAGATTACATTTTCTGTATCATGTCAGAGATATACTTCACAATCCAAGGGTGATGCAAGAAAAAACTTTGCAATCTATCAGTCGTCTCTCTTTGGCTTACGATATGTTTCCTCAATATGCTTGGCTAGGAACATGTACGTGTTGAATAGCTTCTTGACATTTGGGACGTCATAATTCTGAGCTACATAGACACCACATCCCATTCCAAACATTAATGTGAAGCTGGTCCTGAAGAAACCCATTGCAACAAAACCTGGCAAGTAGCAACAAGCATGAATTGGTACTATCATCCAAGATACAGATTTAATGCACCCAACAAGCATGAATTGATTGTGAGATCAGAATAAAAACTGATAGCATTATTATATTTGTTGCCAGAATATTTTTCTCCAAATCATATTAATGCAAGTTGTGTAAGCTAAACAAACTCATGGCATAATAACATATTTAAGCATAATAAAATTAAGTAACACCAGTTTAGCATCAAGAAGACCTGAAACAATTCCAACAGGCGATAAGTTTCTTAGCATCTACAGAAACATATTTATACAATCTGTGAAAGCTAAAAACACACCACAGTATACCCCATCCAAGCATAAGAGTAGCACTGATTTAGCTTTTCAACTAGACTTGAAACATTCCCTACAGGCACTAAATTCACTAGTATTGTGGACTGTGGAGTAATGCTGATATTGTATCAATTATGCTTCATGGGCAAGCCAAGATCAGGCATGCTTCATGGGCATCCCAGCTGGGCAGATGCAATGGGCACAATCTGTCAGGCACACTGTTAATCATACCCAGAAAAAATTGAGCTCAGTTTCTCTAAATAATTCATAACGACCTGAATCCCAACAGGGTTTAGGAAACCATTTACAACATATAGTACATACATACCGAATGGTTATAGTGTAATTCAAGTAAATCGTGACAAGATTCTGGGCGCTGGAATACAAATAATAAATCATGTTTTTGGCATTTGAACTTGCAAATATGAAATGGTTCTGGAAGTTCTTGTCAATTAACATAAGATTCTGGGCTCAGTCCTACAGAATTTTTTATGAAGGAAAAATAAAATCCTTTTCCTAGTTAAGGCTTACAGCACAGGGAAGCACATTTGGATTGTTGGGCCTATAGTAGTATGGAACACAAGGAATTCATTATGGTTTCTTTTATCAGGAAATTCATACATATTTCATAGGAAATAACTTATTTTATGCAGAAATAGGTAAAAAGAAAATTAAGTCTCCAGGGTTCACCGAAATAACCATATCAGTCAGTCCCAGGACATAATAAAAAAAATGGAAGCATAGGCCTCAATGCTATAAGAAACCAGCACACCGCCACTCCACCAGCATTGAGAGGCAAAGTTGGGAATCCCACAGCCAAATCGGGCAACAACAACAAAAAAAGGTGAAGTGCAGATCGATAGGTTTTGTTAAAGCATAGAAGAACGACAGATCCTTTGCCAAGTATTTTCTTGCCTATTGGATTTAGAGGCCCTTCTGCTCAGGTATTGTGATGGACACTTGGGCATGAACTTCATATGAAATAGTGAATACTTTCTCTGTGCATGGCATTGACCAGAAAAAGCAGAGCATCACACACAACCAAAATATATAGAACCAATCTAGAACATATTGCTGAGAACCAATTTTAGATCCCCTAAATATCATAGCCATCCATGGGTCAAGAAAAAGCAATCACCCAGAGCTGCGGTGAAAACGCAGCCAAATCAATCCACTGATAAGGATGGCAAAATCTACTCAATGATCTACAATCCGGTGCTTGAATCGTGCAAATCGGATTGCAATGCAGTCTGCGTGGCTCACAGCACACACAGCGATTCACACCCCCCCCCCCCCCCCCCCCCCGAATTTCCCAATTCCCATCAATCTAAACAGGACTATATTTTCTTTTTAGAAACTTCACGACTTGCTACTAGTCCACTACAAGGTGAAGGTTAAACCTTCATAAAAACAGCTCGATAAACTTTGCCTTGATTCAACCGCTCGCAACTATCCTAGGGTTTTGGTTCAATCAAACAACGTGGGGAGAGAGATCGTTACTCACTTGGAATCCGCCGCCGCCGACGCCGCCGCTCCTGCTCAGGCTGCTGGTTCACCTCCCCTCCCTCCGCCGCCGCCGCTGCTACTTCCTCTCGCCGCGATTCCCCAACCCTAGAATCTGGAGACTTCTCTCTGCTGGTTTTTTTCTGGGTTCTCTCGTTGAAGCAGATTTTTTTTTAATTTATTTTTATTTCGGGTCTCGCACACACTCGCCTCGCCTTCGCCCCGATCCGTTCCGTTCGAACCGAACTCGTAAAACGGAGGTCAGAGGGATCGGGTGAGAAGTGGAAACCGGATCGTAAAACAGTATTCCTCCAACACGAATAGGTGTGCAGAATCTTTTTTACTTTTAAAACTTTATATTAGAAAAAAAAAATAGTAGAGAACCTCTTTTTGATGGTCAAATATTTCCGTTGCACCGCGGCACTGCATTGTCTTGCCATGCTACCATGGTTGACGTTGTAAACTTATAGAAACAAACTTAAATAAAATAAAACGATATATAACCTTTAGTACAAACGCGAGATAAGTATTGGGCTAAAATTCCCTTTATATGAAGGTTTGCACTTAACCGTTAAGGAACTTAAAATATGAAATAGGAAAAACACTAGAGGGTGAGGAGAGTGGAGAAGAAGAGAAGTATGTCTAGCCTGATGGCTCTTACCTAATCCTCTTCAAATTATCAATTGGAAACTCAAGCATGATTGGAGTAAAGGTTTATCAAACTTCGTGAGTTCATTGAGAAGAGTATTATATTTGAGTAAAGGTTTATCGACTTAGGTCTACATATTTTAGTACCTATCCTATTTTATACAATGTGAGTTTATGAGGTCAAACAATATCTAACTGGGTTAACTTTTTGATAGCTTGAAAAGAAATTCATAGACGATCATTTTTGCCAAGTTTCGTGAAGAACAACCAAGAACCCATAAGACCTCTTTGGCACATCTCCGAATTCAAAATTTGTTGGACCTGCCTATTTAAACCACATAATTTAATATATAAAATTTAAATCTATCGTGGATTTAAGATAAGAAGCTGTATTAAATAGGACCTAAGATAGAGTACATGAAATTAATGTTACAGGTATATTCTTGAAAACAAACGGTTAATCTCTCGGGATGATTTTTTGAAACTAATCTCTAGAGAGGATTACTGGCATGACTACCTTCCTCTGTCAGATTTCTGAAATGAATGCCTATTTGTCTGCTCTATATTCCGTAAGCACCAGAATAACAATGGTTGCTTTTATGCCTTTATCCACCTTAGCAAAATCTTCAAAACAGGCTAAAATTCCTCCCTTTCTCCTGTACACAGGCCTGATATAAAACAGACAAATTTTCGCACACAATTCCATCGAGCAGATAGTACACTGATCTAGACGTTACATGAGGAAGAAAGCAGAGTTAGATCAGATATGCCAACATTCTCAGACGGTAACTGTAGTCTGGAGAGGATCATCAGATATGCCTACATTTTCCCAACAATTGCCTGTACCTGTATGACCCAATTTAGTATCTTGGCCCAGAGATCTAAGCATTCTGCACCAAGCAAAAAAGAAAACTCATTGAACAAATAATGCATACCAACCATCATCTTTGCCCATAATCTCATTCCAACTGACGATATTTCTGATCATGCAACTGCCATCTGAAAATTACTATTTGGGTGGACTACTAGATCATGAGTAGCAGCAACACAGGTATGTGCAGATACAGGGTGCAAAGCCATATATATCGGCGTAGCTGGCATTACTACGATTGTTCTTTTCATGTCTGAAATAACAGTCCCCATCTCAGCACTAAATAGAGAAAAATCTTCAAAACCTTTTCTTTCACTTCATCAGAAAGATTGGTGCAACTGTTTACTTCATCAGAAAGATTGGTGCAACAGTTGAAACAGTTTAGTTCATTTCCATCAATTTGTGAAGCAGTTGAATCTGTAAGTAACGGATCTAAGCAAGATTATGGATGAATGTATTCTCCTAGTTGGGTTTTGTATTGTCTGTCTTCAACATTCATCCAAAGACTTATTTATTCGATTCGCTGTATCTCGAACAGAGGTATGTCCCGTTTCCTCCTCTTGCTTTTGGTTAGTGGCTTTCTCTTTTTAGAAGTATCATATTCAAAGTTTGTTTAGAAGAAGCATGCCAAGGGGTCAAACATTTAGGAGAGATAAAAACGTGAGAAAGAATCACTTAATGTGGCAAAATTTGTGCTTGTCCTGTATCAGGGCATCTAACATGACATATAGCTGCTTACCTGCTTGTAGGAATGGAAAGAGAACCTAATGCACAGAATTTACTAATTTCAAGTGAATAATTTTTGTAAAAAAAATCCTTTCAATGTCAGCATTTTGGTAAAATCATATACATAGACACATAGTAGAAAAACACAAAGTAGTCAGAACAGCATGTATGGTTTGTATTTACATATATAGATGCAAGAGTTGTATGTCAAATACAATTCTACTTTCACATAATCATTTAGTTTAGTTGCACGGGAAATTCAGCTAATTATCTTTAAAGGCATAAATCTCTACTCAATAATTTTTACACGCAGAACCTATGTTTGAACAAATAAACCTTCTGCCATTTAGCAAACAAAAATGGACTATGCCCTATGTTGAACAAAACTAGACTATGCCCTATGTTGAACAAAAATGGACTATACCCTAGTGGCCATCCTTGCATCATTGACAAATAGCAATCCCACAACATTAATAATGTTATTTACTCTTCCATGGTGCCAGGGAAGCTTCTTCATGGCCATGATGGTGCAAGTATGTGACAAAATCCAACCACATGACAATATCTGCACGAGGGTTCATAAAATGTAATTGGCATACACTCCCATCGATCCCGACTATCGTTTTGCAGAAACTAATTATAACATCATGCTCTTACCATGTAAGGAACAGCATAGAGCTTTAACATCTTAAGAGGCCCCATCACAAAGGTAACCAGCGAGAATCCCAACCATTGCTAGCCAGTTGATGTTACCACATCCTTCTTCTCATTTGGTTGGAACAGCCCACTGCTTGGGTTCAAGTGTGAACCTTCCCTGGACTCCTTGCAAACTGCAGACATGACCCCAAACAAGGAATTTACTATGACATTACAAAATAAGAACCTTCAATACACTTGTCAATGAATGTCAAGAAGCTCTTGTCCTAACCAAGAAAAATGAGAATGCCAGCATGGGAAATGGAATGGTGAACCTCAAGCATAGTCTGTACAGACGCCCAGGCAGTTGCAGATTGTTACAACTATAGAACCATCAAGCATAATTCGCCTGTCCCCTATGCAGAATTCCTCACAAACCACCCAAATACAAAGGTGGGTGATCTTCTGGCAAAGCTGAGTCATTACCTGCTTGGACTTCGATTCAGCTTGCAGGATCGCTAGTACCTCCTTATCAGGGTTGACCCAACACCTCCCTGCACGTTAACCACAGAACATGAATCAAAGCTTCTGTGTTCAGAGAAACAGAAAGTCAGAAAGCAATGGTAGATCAGCTACAAAACCTGTTAAGCTTTCTGCGTCAGAATTTGTTGAACAAGAGAAGCAGCAGTCAGAATTTGCTGAACAAGAGAAGCAGCAGAAAAATTGCAATGCCTCTGCATGTGTGAGCCGGTGCTCTTCCAGAGCTCCTTGTGGCTGGCATCTGCTCCTCTGGGAAGGACATGGATCAGGATGATCCAGTTGCTGGCCTTCACCAGGTTATCCACCGCCTGCCTCACCACAGCCTTGCTAAATGGCGAGTAGTCCATGCCGACTGCCGATGATAATGGTTCGTAGGTGGAGGTGAGGATGTCTGGCTCATCAAGGTGAGGTAGCCTGTTAATGCGCTTCTCCGCAGATGAGGAATATACTTGGCATCAGATGGCTAATAAGGAATTCTCCTTAAATCAATATACATTTGAGCCACAATCTCTAGTACAGCCATGCACGTGCACGACGCAGTACATAACAATCTTCAGTTACTCAGTTAGTCATCATGAATGGTCAACAAAATTTCACCAGAAATCCTCACAAGAACAACTAGCATCCTTGAAATGATGAAACCGATACAAGTCACGAACAACTATTTCCCTACCTGTGGCCAGACTTATGTACTTGATCGCTTCATGGCAATCCTCACAAACACGCAGATTCTTGAAGATCCTAAGTGGAGTCCCACTTGGAGTGCTGATGATCCCAAATGCAATGGCCAGCTTCTCACTGTGGAACTTAAGAGCTGTTTCCCTTTGTTCATCCTCTACATCATGAACAACAAGATCAGTTCTACTTGTGTACCCAATCTCCTTCAGTCTCTCCACCAGCTTCTCCAAGTAAGCATAAATTTCAGCTGATTGTGGGTGTGACGCATCCCCTGCAACAAATGTATGCACAGTATTCTTCAGGTGGATCCAAGATCGACCAGGCTGCTTCCTGACCTTCCTTTCCTGCATTGAAACTCTAAGCTCAAAAGTGTCGTGCCATTTGTTGTTGGTTGCATATATGTTTGACAGCATAACATATGATCCAGCATCGCATTGCTCCAGTTGAACCAATTTTTCAGAAGCCAATTTTGCATATTCGTTGTGCTGGTGAAGTCGACAAGCTGACAGTAGCGTCTTCCAAACAATAGCCTCATGGTTGATGTTGTTTTCCTCAATGAAGTTCTTTGCTTTGTCAAGCAGTCCAGATCGCCCGTAAAGATCAACAATGCAATTGTAGTGCTCAATGCTTGGAACAATTCCATACTCCTCTTGCATCTGCTTAAAGTAAAGCTCTCCTTCACTGACCAATCCAACGTGGCTACAGGCAGATAGAACACCGACAAGGGTAATCTCGTTAGGAGTCATTTTTTCTGCTGTCATTCTTTCGAAGAGCTCAATAGCTATCCTGCCTTGGCCATGAGATGCATAGGAGCACAGCATTGAAGTCCAGACAGCAATGTTTTTGGTGCAAGCTCTGTCGAATATGCTACGAGCATCTTCAAGGTTGCCACACTTAGCATACATGTCCACAATGGCAGATGCCAATGGTGCATCCAATTTGTACCATAGCTTCTCCACGCAGCCATGCACTTGCCTTCCTTGCTCAACCATCCCAACATTTGCACAAGCTGCGGCTACACTAGTGAGGGTAAACCGATCAGCAGCAACCCCTTCGCGCAGCATCCTTCGAAAGAGATCAAGAGCTTCTTCCTCCCTGCCATTCTGGACATACCCAGCAACCATTGTGCTCCAGGCAAAGTTCATGTCTCTAGTGAGTGGTGACCAATGATCAAAGACTGACGCAGCTGCCTCCAATAAGCCGCATTTGCAGTACATGTCCATGAGAGAGCTCCGAACAAATGCATCACCCTCCAGTGCAGCAATCAAAACACGGCCATGGAGCTGCCGGCCTAGGTCTGGCAAGAGAAGCATGCCGGCCAAGACAAACGCTGTGGAGTAAGTGTAGTGATTGAACACCACTCCAGCTTGCGCCATTCGACGCAGGTGGCTCAGGGCGTCCGCAGCATGCCCACTCCGCATCAGGCCGCTGATGATTGTGTTCCAGCTTGTAGTGTCACGCAGCGGCGATTCATCAAAAAGCTGCATCGACCCAAGGATATCACCGGACTGTATGCATGCACCGATGGCAATGTTCCAGGAGACGGCGTCTCTCTCGGCCATTGCTCCGAACACCCGCCTGGCACGCTCGAACTGGCCACACTTGGCGTACATGTCAAGAACAGCATTGCACAGCACCACGTCCAGATGCACCCCGTTCCTCAGCATCCACCCGTGGACGCGCTTGCCGGACTCCACATCGCCCATACCGGCGCAGCACCTGACGACGGCAGCAAGGACGAACGCGTTCGGCGTGGCTTCACCTTCGGCCAGCATCTCCGCGAACGCGCGCATTCCGTCCGCATACCGGCCGCGCCGTGCGCAGCCCGAGATCGTCAACGTCCACACGGGCGCGGTCCTCGTGGGCCTTTCGTCGAACACCCCGCGGGCGTCGTGGAATCTGCGGCGTCTGACCCAGAACCGCAAAACCGAGGCACGCTCGTGGGGCACCGTAGCCAAGCGTGCCTCGAGGGATCCCCCGCGGGCGGCTCGTCCCCGCAGGAGGAGGGCCGCAGAGAAGGGATGCGTGGAAGCCCGCGGCGAGAGCAGCCGAGCCGCAGCTTTCCTCGCCGCGCACATCACGAGCTCGCTGGCCGCCGGTGGAGCCGTGGAGGCGAGGGAACGATGCGATCAAGGCCGCGCGCATGGAGGCGATGATGGCGGCGCTGGAGCGCGCGCGACGAGGCGGATGCGAGCGGCCGCCGCCGCGGCGGCTATCGCGAGGAGGAAGAGGAGCGAAGCGAAGAAGCTGGCGAGAGGGGCGCGACGTGGGCCGGGAAAAAAAAGCAATTCCTAGGATGAAAATGATTTCGATTCAAATCTGATTTTGTTTATATTTGAATAAGATTTCAAAGTTTTATAACAAGGATAGGGGCTCATTTGGTCCTAAGAAATTTCATATAAATATTAGGGCTAATTTGAAAAGCAGGATTCTCAAAACATAAGAACAAGAAAAAAAAATGCAAGATTAAAATTTCATCACACCTTAAATTCTAAGAAATGGAAAACACATAAAAAGTATATAAGAAACCGTTTAGATGCTACACAGAAAAAAACAAAGGATTTGAAAGAGAGATAGACAGTACCAAGAGGTTAGATCGGACGCGTTTTGATGTTGTGCTAAATAGTCGGTCCTACGTTTCCATCGTGCGGGACGTATATATTTTCGCAATTCTTCTAAAAACATCTATATAATCGCAAAAACTTCAAAAACAAGTTATATTTTCAATTTCTTTTTTCTAAAATGATGGCAGAAACAAGTTATATTTTCAATTTCTTTTTTCTAAAAGGAAAAAGTACCTTTTACCCTCTGAACTATTTGGGTCGTTCGAATTACCCCCTTAGACTCTAAAACCAGTTATTTTACATCCTAAATTTTTCAAACCGGCCAAATTACCCCCCTAAGTCAATCCGGGGTGGTTTGGTTTGACGTGGCGCACACGTGGCACTAGTTTGATTGATGTGGCAGTCCAACATAGAAATAACAATAATAAAAATGGTGGGCCTTACCTGTCAGTCACCTATTCTGATTATACGAGAGAGTGAGAGAGGGCAGAATGGGTGTGGGCAGCGGAGCTCAAGGCTAAAGGCCATGGAGAGCGGCCACTGGCGTGGATCTCGTCGCACCGGCCGCCGAATCTCTCTCACCTCCTCTCTCTCCTCTTCCTCTCTCTCTAACTCTTCCTCTCTCTCTTGCGCGCGGCAGCAGGCGGGCGGCACGGAGGCAACGGTCTCTCCCGCGCCATCGCCACCGCCACCGCCACCGCGGCTACGGTCGGACACCACCCGCGTGATGGCGTACTCCAGCTCGGCGCAGAGGAGGTCGCCACCCATGATGAGGCCCATGCCGAGCGCACGGAGGGCGGCTCGTCGGTCGTCGTGCAGCTGCTCCCATGCCATCTCCCTCGCTGCCTCCGGCTGTCGTCCTTGACTCATCGCCCGCCGCCCGCAGCTGCCTCCACCCCCTCCGGCCGCAGCTGCCTCTGCCTCCGCGCCACAGCTGCCTCATCTGCTCACCGAGAGAGAGAGAGAGGCAGAGAAGCGCTGCCTCTCGGCGACGCCGTAGCCCGCTGCCCGCCGAGCCGTCGTCGGCTCCAGCTCCCCCTCCGCCGCCGCCAACCGCCCGGCCCCGCGCGCTGCCATCACCCGCACGCCACACACGCCTGCTCCCGCATCGCCGCCACCGCCGCGCTCTCTACCACGGCATCGTCGGTCACCCACTCTACCTCCGCCTCAGCCACCCGCCGCCCGGGGAGCTCCACCTCCGCCGCCTGCTGCTCGGGGAGCTCCGTCTCCGTCGCCGGTCGCCCGCTCTGCCTCAGACACCGGCCGCCCGGGGAGCTCCACCTCCGCCGCCGGTCGCCCGCTGCCTTGCCCGAGTGTGTGCGTGAGAGAGATTGAATGGTTGAGAGATTGTCAGATTGGTTTGAGGATAGGTATGACAGGTGGGCCATGTTTTTTTTTTGCTGGTTAGATTGCCACTTTGGCGCCACGTGTGCAAGGTCAAGTCAAAACCACTCAAAACAGTGTTCAGGGGCCTTATTTGTCCGGTTTCAATAGTTGAGGGTATAGAATGTCTGGTTTTTGAGTTTAAGGGTGTAATTCGGTCAACTGCGATAGTTCACGGGGGTAAAACGTACTTTTTCCTTTCTAAAATGATGGCAGATAGTGAAGCCAGAGGAGGGGCCGCCTAATTATTTTTCACATGAAATTACCCCTTCATATGGGACAATAATTTTTTTTCTCCAACTAATGTAATTTGGACCAATAAAGTCTCCCTTGATGACCGAGGCAGCTAGAAGATTTTTCCATGCCATGTCGACGCTAAATTATGATCATACAACAAATATAGACGGTTTCCCCCTACCGTTTGCTATATTGCCATCCGATGGATAGAAATTAATCCCTCGCACTCGTAGTTACAGTGAATAAGGAAGTCTAATTTGTAAACAGATGCTACACTATGAAAAAAGAACAATATCTTCCATATTAAACAAGAGTTGTTTATGTTGGTGATATTTTAGGAATCACCATGGTAAAGAGGAATTGAAGACGAATCTGACGAGAAAGAGTCGTAGATCTAGGGATAGGTTTTAGTGCCACGGTGTACATGGTGGGGCTACAGTGTAATAATCATGAAAACTGCCAAACTATTTTCACATGAAATTCCCGCTCCAATTAGTAGATTTTTTGCTCCATCTGATCAAGAGGTAATGATCCACATTCGACCTCCCAATCCAACATAATCAACCTAGTGCCTCTCCACCTCCCACCGAGACGCTGCCACCATCTCACATGCAGGGTGTGGCACACGTGCCTTCTGTCTTGACGCTGGAGGCTGCCGGCAACGGCTCCCCACCTTGCCGTTAGATTGCCATCCGATGAACGGATATTCTGTATATATGTTTGCAGTGTATTGCAAACATATGCTACGCTCTTACCCAAAACAATCCAATCTATATTCAATACATTTTCTCCATTTGTATTTAAATCAAGAGCTGTTTATGTTGGCAAGATTTTAGTAGTCACCATGGAAAAAAGTGAATACAAATCTAGCGAGAAAACGTGTACATCTAGGGTTAGGGTTGGTCCTACGATGTAGACGGTGAGGTTATAGATATTAGGCTTGATGGGATATGAAGTGGCCGAAGAGGGTATAAGGGTCATGCTACATGAATTTCATCTAAAAGTGACAGAATAGCATCTCAGCTATCTAATTTTCTATCTTGATGAGATTTTAGGATTCAAAGTGGAAGATACATTTTTTAAATTTCTAATAGCATTATTTTATGCATGAATTGGATTACAAGGAGATTTCTAATTCCCAAGAAGTAAGGATTTCGAGCCACTTTCATCTTGTCCTTTAGTATGTTGACTTATATTCTGATGAGATTTTAGTTAGGACTAAAAGAGGGAAATACACTTTTTTTCAAATAAAATTCAAGTAGGAATTTCGAGGCACTTTCATGTTGTCCTTTTGTTATGCTGATGAACATCTATGAATAATTAATGCGCTTGGTGTTATGAAATATGAAAACGGTATGAAACTATCCAGCTAATTTGATATGGGCCACAAACAGCATTCATGAATTGTCATGATCACTACTAAGCGCCTACGAAGCTGTTGACAACCAAATTTGGTAGGTCATGAACCGGGTTCGACATTGGGATCGAGGCAGATTCGATAAAGAGATTGATTTGAAAAATAGAGTATGTATCGGCTGCGAAGGCATCGGCTGGAGTCTGCATCGACTGAGATGGATCGGACAGAGGATAACTGATACAACCGATAAAGGTGATGCAGCCGATTCTGATAATGGTGGTTTCAAAGATGTTTCTAGAATCAATCAAGGTGCTTCACGAAGATTGCCGCGATGGAGATAGGGCTCTCGGATAGGCAATTGCATCTATTAATTAGGATATTTCATGTAACTTCCTTACAGATATGTTTGGGCAAAAGTCAGCCGCAAAGACTTATGGTATTTTAGAGTTTGTTAGAGATAAGTGTCGTGTCCGGCAAGGACATATTTTGTATCTCGAGTATAAATATGACCCGAACCCATGTAATCAATTAACAATCGTTCAATACAATCTCGGCGCATCGCCACTCTTTTACTTTCATTTACTTCGACGAGTTCTTGCTTTCGGGTTGAGCTGCATCGATTCGATCTTCAACTAAAGGTAAAGCTTGTTATGGCGGCTTGCGTTCTCAGGGTTAATGCTTCCATCTTTATGATACTTTAACCCTGTTTATGTAATCCGTCGAGTTATCATATACATGTTGCAATCTACGTTAATAGCGCTATATGACTTGTTATCGAGTAGTTCTTATCATTAGGAAACAACCGGTAGAGTTATGTTTTGTTATTAATCTAGATTGTATCGTGTATCTACCATCTCTTGTAGATTTTCATCATCCTGCTTAGATCTCATACTTATATTTATGCTTAATGCTGCATCGATTGAGTTCGATCTATTAAGTAGTATTTATAATTGTGATATCTGGCTTGTTTTATGATTATCGATAGAGATAGTATCGAGGTTTCAGCCGATCTTACCTGATTTAGCTTTATGTTTTATATGCTTAATTGATATGCTAAGTCTGCCCTTTATGTTAAGATCTTGTCACAATAAATTATATTAGGCTTCTATTTGATATATTCTATCTGTTTTAATATCTTAACGTAGAGTGGTATCAAAGTATTAGCCGATACATGCTAGATCTATCTGATCGGCAATGCTATAGGCATTTATAATCTTCATGTTGATGTACATTTCGACCTAAGTGGTTTATACTGTCTCGGCATGGCGACCGATCTATCCCAATCACTTGGTTTAAATATACATCGACAGAAGGATTATATAGCGTTAATATCTACAGCCGATCGAATAGATTTAGTCTTATTTTGCTTATTTATAACTGCCGATCGATTTACATATGACATCGGCTCAAGAATAAATGATATGTCATCGGCGGCTGGCCGATCGGCTATCGTTTATGGATTTAACCACGGTTTCTTTTGTCTTTGTTTCTTGTTGATTATAGGATCAAATCAACTGGCATGCTCACGAACCTAAAGGCAAGATTTTGGACCTGCACTGAAGTTAAGCAGATCTTCCAGGCCAGTGTATGTTTTTTGCATCAACATATCCACTAAATTGAAACGTCTGCTTTCTATAGTTCCGATTGGTGAACAATTGCGTGTAGAAGTACAAATTGACATGTACTTCTTTAATACTAGCAATATATAAAAACCAGCAATAAATACTTAGTCCATTCTGTGATGCACACGTTAAAATAAATCAAAC